TCATGCTCTTGTCTTAATTCTCAAGTTTAGCTTACTTTCTTATGTATTTCATTGTCTGTCTTTTAATGACAGCTTGAATTTCATTTTAAGTGATTCAGCCAAACCATGGAAATGGAGGGAGAGGTGTCCCAGTCTATTAGTGTTGTATATATTGAGAAAACCCTTTTTTTCCCCTCCAGATTTAGAAAGAAACCAATTTAACCGTTTGTTTCTTTGTGTTCCGCTGGTACAGGCAGGTCTGTGTCCTCAAACCCTGTGTCGTGTGACTGCTGTGCCTGCGCAGTCCCTGTTGTGTTGTACATGGGTCTTTACCAGCGAAGGAAACATCACAAGCTTATTGTCACTTTGGCTGAAAAAATTATGCAGTACAATTATTTATAAGGGAAAGTGATGACTTAGTTTATTTATTCAATATTTTTCTTCTGAAACATCTCATTACTAACTTTTAAAATTATTTTGTAATCTCTTATACATGAGCCAATGAAATGTTGTGAGCTCTAGTTAAGAAGCATGAAGTCTATATGATTAAACAACAAAAGCACTTGTAACTTGTTTTGTAAATTTCATGCCTTATTTTCCATTTTTGACACCGTAAAGTGCATTTTCTGTCAACTGTGAGTAAATTTCCCTTTTGCCTTTAATGAAAATAGTGCATTAAGTAGCCAATTGCTGCAAAATTACAAAGCAAGTTAGTTTAAGGTGGATCATATTGGACTACCCACCACTGAAAAGAAACAAGATGCATCACAGGTGGAAGTCGCACGTGTGGCTTTGGGGAGAGTGCACCTGTGCCAGATGCATGCCACTTTCAGTAGCTGCCAAATGTGCCTTTAATTAAGAACATCTCTAATTTTTTTCTTCAGATCAAGTCAGCATTTGGGGGCGGGATCAGGGCAGGGGACTTTGGGGTGCAAATATCTGGTGAGACCCACCAGAGAAGAAGCCTTTGTTTGTCAAAGTGACATGTTTAACTTTAGTTGAAACATGTTGGTGTACATATATGTGTGTGTATTTGCCTTTGTTCAGTAGCATGGTATTTGCTAGAGTAATTGTCAAAATAATTGGTCTGTTAGTCTTACTTTGATGTAAAAACAAAGTGTGATCTATACATCTAATATGGCCTTTGTACCTAACCATGTTCGTAGGTAGTCTTTGTACTCTGTGTGCAACAGTATTTGGTTTGCATTTAAAGTGAAAATAATGGCTGTTATTTTTCTGGCATCACTAAGATAAACTGAAAAACAATAAAGAAAAATGCCTTACATAGCCCACGAGTGTATTATTTTGCATGTATTTATTTTAGAGGACAGTTTTTTAATGTCGCTAGTAATTGTAATTTTAGCTCATACTTTCCACATACAAATAGTTGGCTCTTTACCATGCCCTTGCCTTGGAGGTGCTTATTCCTGTATCACAATATTATAAAAGAAGTTCAGCATTTCCTTCTGTGTCCAACCCTACGAGTGTAGTTAGTGGGAGGCCCTTGGGGTGAAAATGAGTAATTTAGTGACCCTGGGTGTCACCCGGATGAAGTTTCGGAGGGCTGAGGCATTAATTCCACTGAAGAAGTTTTATGCTATCACAGTGCCTGGACAGGCAAGCTTTGCTGAGACCTGCTGGAATGTGGCAGCCTGACATTTAGCGATTCTTTCCAGGCTTGGAATGGGAAGGTACAGTTCACAGTTGCACACCGTAAAGAATTATGCAAGTGTGCAGTTATCACAGAGAACTATATAATGTCAAAACTAATGCATCCTTGGAGTTCAAATACCCTTATTTAAAATTGAGGTGAGGGAGGCCTGAGGCAGTGAAATGACTCGGCCAGCATCATGTGGCAGTTAACGACCGAGACCACCGACTCAACTCTGATGCCTGGTATCTGGAGAACTGCTTTCAGGAATAGCGAAAATTTACTAGAATTTCCCCCCTTGGTTTAAAGACAATTTCATTTGGAGGCAAATGTGAAATCCAAGTATGTATTATTGAGTATCTTGTAAGTAATAGCTACGGGAAAATAATGTTAATATTGCTATTAGTCAAACCTGAATCTGAATTGGCTCTTGAAAGGTCACCACCTTTGAATTTTAACCAGGTGGTTTGCTTTTTTAATTATTTTAATCACGTTAGCTCATCACAGATTGAGGACACTTAAGTCTCTAGGGCAGAGCACACTGCTGAGCCCGCTGCTTTGCAGGTAGATGCGAATGACTTCCAGAGTCAAGGATGACCTACGGTAAAGTACAATTCCAAAAAAGCAGTTTATGCCTATTCTAACATGTTAGGGCTCTTAGTTCTCATTAGAGGCAAGAAAAAAACTACAGCCATTTTTAGAAGCTAGTTTCTCTACCTCATGACTCATCAAGAAACGGAAGAATCATTGTGGTACAAGAATACAACAAGCAGGTGCTTTGGAATCACACGTACCTGTGTTCTCATTCTGGTTCTTACTAGATATGTGTTTTTGGCAAAGTTATTTAAATAGTGAGTCTCTGTTCCTCATCAGTACATGAGATTAATAGAGCTACTCTACTATTGGGGACTGTTGTGAGGTTTAAAGGTACAGTGAGTCCTCAAAAAAGTCATCAATAGATCCTGCAACTTGAATGAAACAACATATAATGAAACCAATTTACCACTAGTTAATCGACATAAATAATATTGTAATGAAACAACACTGAAACATTGTTATTCACAGACCCGCTATAATATGTGTAAAGTCCAATACCTTTTACAGAATAGTTGCTCAATAAATAGTAACTAAAAGTAAAGGGACCTGTTTTCAAAGTGTGCCTGCTATTAGATATCTTTCAATAGGTTAATGGTTCACCTAAAGTCCCAATAGTTTGATTCTTTACAGCTTCCTCTGCCATTTATTGCCACTTGAATTGGTTTTGAGTGACCTTAGTTATTAGCACTTGATAAGGGCCCATTTGACTGTTCAATTTTCAGCAAGTATTTATTGTTCCAGGTATAGTTCTGAGGTTAGGAATACAGCAATGAACAAAACAGACAAAAATCCATATCATTGTGGATTTTCGTACATTAATAATGTAGTGTGAAGATGTAGACAATAGATAATAAAAAATAAATAGGTGTATTATACATTAGGATGTTGTAACTACTATGAATAAGAACAAGGTGGCTGGGAATGTAGGGGATGAGGTGAAATTTAAATATGGTTAGAGTCAGCCTCACAGACAAGGTGACACATGCATGAAGACTTGAAGAAGGTAAGTGAATGAGACACGCAAGTATCCGTGGAAAGACCATTCCAAGTCCCAGGGAACCTCACAGGGGTTCAAAACCAATTCAAAAGCCCACGGGCAGGAGCATACTTGGTATATCTGAGGAATGGCAAGGCTTTTTGTATCTGGACAGGAATGACTGTGGGTGAAATAGGAGACGCCTATTGGGGGTTTAATGGGGCCCAGGTCACTTGTGATCAGTTTGGCTTCTGTCTGAGAGAAACAGAGCCCTTTGAGGTTTGAGCAGACGCATGACATGATCTGGTTTCCATTTTGACAAGGTCACTCTGGCTGCCATGTTGGGAATCATTACGGGCAGAGAGTGGGAATAAGGAGGCCAGCCCAAAAGAAGGCAGCTTGGCCAATAGGACAGCAGTGGAGGTGGGGAGAAGAGGTCAGAGCCTGGACCTGTTTGGAAGACAGTCAGTTTGCCGATGAAATAGATGTGGGCTGTCGTAGAATTGTCAAGGATGACGTTAATTAAGGTTTGGGGCCTCGGAAGGACAAAGCTGCCATTCACTAAGGCAGCGAATATACGGTTGAAGCAGCTTTGGGCATTAAGTTTAGTAAATTAAGTTAAGTTTAGTAAATTCATGAGACATCTGGGAGATGCCAAGGAGGCAGCTTGAGGCAAATAGGAGAAAATTCTGGGCTGAAGATATAAAGTCACTTTCATAAGATCAGATTTTAAAGCCAGCTGACTGGAAGAAGAGATCTCAGGGAATGGGATCCCTGGGGCACTCTAACGTTGAGAGAGGGAAGAGAAAGGAGGAACTAGCAAACAGACAAAGAAGGAACTGCCAGTGAAGAAAGATGGAGCCAGGAGTGTGCTGTGTCCTTGGGGTCCAGTACAGAAAATCCAGGAGGAAGTGCTCAGCATGTCAAACGCTGTTAGGGAGAGGAAGGTGTTTGAGAATAGACTGTTCCTTGAGCAAGGTGAAAGTCACTAACTGAAGATGGATCACATGCAATGAGCAGCCAGGGGAGCAGTGGGGCCTAGAGAATTTGATACAGAATGGGAGGAGAGGAACTGCAGGAGTTTATTCTTTCAAATCTTACTATAAAAGAAGTCAGAGAACCATCAAGAGAAGATTTCTTTTGCTTGAAAAAATGAGGGAAGAAGAACATGTTTGTATGCTGAAGGGTTTTGCTCAGTTGAAAAGGAAAATGTGATAATGACGAGAAATGTATGGAGTGCCAAGCGGAAACTTAGGCCCTGGCTGGTGTGGCTCAGTGATTGTGTGACGGGTCGCTGGTTCAACTCCCGGTCAGGGCACATGCCTGGCGTGTGGGCTGGGCCCCCAGTGAGGACATGCAGAAGGCAATGAATCAATGTTTCTCTTACACACGGTGGGTCTCTCCCTCTCCTCCTCCCTCCCTTCTCTTCCCTCTAAATAAAATCTTAAACAAAAAATACTTAGAAATGCAAGTACCCAGCCACAGTCTTTTACAGTGGATCCTCTATCTTTAGATGAAGAGGTTTATAGACATGAGGAAGAAACAACATATTCAATTTTCTTGCTGAGAATTAAGAGCATTTAATGCTACTATGTCTCAAGAGAATGAGCCAAGAAGAAGGAATGAAAATCTCTTTTATAGATAACAAACAAGTTTAGATGACTTTAAGATCATGCACTAAACTCTTCAGAAACAATAAATTTTGGAAAACAAGTTATTTGGTTTAGGTACAAAATTCTTTACTTTGAGAGTCTAACAACTTCCCAAAACAATATTTTCATTCTTGCCTAAATCACATCCTTATGTTCTTATAATGTTTAAAAACCAGGTCTAGTGTCACACATCAATTTCTATTTTTTCCCCTCAAAATATATAGGACTCCATCAAGCACTGCCCTCAAAACTTCTTTGGCAGGATAACAGAGAGAAATCTAATTTCAAAGGAGTTCATTAATTTCAGGAAAATGGAAAGCTTGACCTAAACATTGAAAACCCCCCAAACTTGGCAGCCATCTCTTAGTGTTCCAGTCCACCTGCTGTTCAAAATGCTAATAAATGAGTTTCTTCGTCATCAGACAAGCAGAAGAAAACTCGTAACAATTAAAAGTGAAGCCTCTTCTATTAGACCAAACGGTGCATTACTAGAGGGCCATTCTCTGAAGAAATAAGTTTAGGTGCCAAGATTTTGAATATACAGTAACCAAATGCCCCTGATTTATTACAGATAACTGCCTAGGAATGGAGACAATGGTTCAAACCTCATTTTTTTCTGTGATAATTCTGACACTTAGAGCAGGTCAAGGATGTAGACCATTTTAGACATACATGTGGAAATAGAGTACATTTTATTGCCCCATGCCCAGGCAAGCCTCATTGAGATGATTCTTGTCTGAGATGTAAGGACTCTGTTTCTTTACAACTTAGTTCTGGAAAACAGAATAAGGTACTGCCAACCTAAGCTTTCGTTTTGACCTGGTGCTTGTAGCGACGACTGCATGTGGCCATCAACACATTGGTGTTGTTGCACCTTCTTTTCAGACTGAAGAAAGCCTTCTTAGAGGATGTGGCTGAACCAGTGCACCCCCGCCCCCATCCAGCTGGTTGTGAGTGTATGTAACACTCAGGATCACTAGGGCATCTCTGATGCTGACTGGGGACTCAGTAAAATAGAGACCCAACTGTCCACAGCTGTAGCAAAACCCACATAAGAAAAAGTGTTTCTTTGGCCTCCCACTTTCTAAAGAAATCATCGTTCCTTGTACTGATTTTCATAACCATAGAACAAGAGAAATACTACTCTTAAGTTTCTCTTCCTATTTGGAGATCAATGTGTCTTTAAGATTTGAACCTTTTGTATCATGGTATAAAATCTCCACAACTCAGAGACACAACATGTAAAGTACAAGTCTGTTAACTGATCCTTTGCCTTAGGAATGTTAGGTATTGCCTTGGAGTTTTTGAAAGACTAGTGCAAGACAAAACTGGCCCCTAACACAGTGTATATTAGTCTAAGAACGCTGGAATGAATTATAAGCTAAATGCCTAGGAAGCATAAAATTCATATCCATGTTAAATATGAATAAGCTAATGTTATACTGGGGCAATGACTTCAAGGTGGAAGTTTTTGATCTTACCAACATTTATTTTCCTCCAAATTTACTGTGTTTTTCTGTAATGCTGTAAAAAACTCTTCATTTCCCTTTTCCCAAGTGTTGTGGTTCAAAAGCCAGCTCTCAATCACATACTAATCTTCATCTCTTCAATGTCTTGTTTGTATGTTGATTTAGTTTCATATGTAAGTACTTATTTTAGCTTTCCTTGGGGATTTATACATCAATATATATATTCCTACACAAATATATACAAGTTTTTTATCCTCGTCTTACCACTTGACAATACAACTTTAAGTATGTTTTACACAGCTGTTCCTTGGTCAAGGTCATTTGCAAGAGCAAGTCGGTTTCTGAAGAAATCTTGTTTGGTGGGTGAAGGATCCATTGAGGGATTCTCATTAGTTTTTTCCCTGTATTCTGATCCACTGGACCTAAAATCTCAGCACACAGATAAAGTACAGGTTGATTTGGTTTTAATTGTTTTCAAATATTTTATCTATCCAAATTGTTCTGCATTTGTAAAACAGTTACTTCCTAGCTTTGGAATAATTTTCACTTCCCCTGAATTTCATGACTCAGGACACATGTAACTAAGATTTACAGCAAAGATAAAGAGAATATCTTTCTAAGGCTTCATGGGGACGATTGTAACAACCGTGTATGTCAGTGCAAGATATTGTGTAATAACACTATAAAAGGGGAACAAAGCTCAGAAAAGTCAAGAAATCCTATTTTTTTGATTCAACCACATACTATAACTACTCCACAAATTACCAAGGCCCTTAAATTAAAATGGATGGAATTCATCGTTCTCAAACAAGGTTACCAGGGGCCATTGCTGACCCTGGGCATTACATTACAAACTCTTGCTTTTGCTTGTTGTCATTTTTAAATGAAAGATTTATTGAAGCCAACCACACATATATGCTACATTTAGAATGCAGAAATTAACACAGCAATGAGCTTGAGGAGGTTCTGTAATCTCAACCAGCACAGAGGAGACCAAGCCCAAGCAATAGTCAACAACTCAGATCAGTCCGGTAGGTTCCCCAGTCCAGGGTGCACGCTTCCTTTATCTTGGTTAAGACAGTTGGGTAATCCATTCCAGCTCTGCACCTTCTCCAGTTTGTTCCTGTCAGAGGTCCCTGGAGGGAGGAGGCTTTCTGGAAATAACCTTTGATAAGCTAGGCTGGGGCCCTTCGGCTAGCTTCAACTCTGAGCTGGAACGGGTAAAACTAGCCCAGGGGACTAAGAACCGGTATCAAAAGACCTCATGCAGAGTGTATGAAAGTGATGTTAGACATGAAGTTCTTTGTCCAAAGCTCCTATACAACTAAACAAGTTCTCCACCTGTGGAGGCAGAGTCAGGCATGCTTCCACTATCCACAGAGAAGAGTAAGTTTTTTCACTATCATTGGTATGCTACAGGTCCTTGTTGCTGTTATCAGTTAATATGACTCTCGTTTACTGAACTAACTGGGCAGAGTTCAAACATCCTTTGAACATGTTATTAAAGGAAAGAAGTTGAATCCACGCAAAGACTAAAATCCTGACGTCTGGAAATCTGATGACTGACTGGATTTTTTTACTTTTCACCCTAATCGTTGGTATCAGATGAAGCCACAGCTGCCCAGCATGCTTTCTACTTCTGGTCACTTTTCTGGTCAAAAGGAGCACTTTTCTACTGCATCCCAGTGCATAGAAAAAAACGATTCTGTTTCTCAGCCCCAACACATCTGGTACTCATCGGATAAGACAACATCTGGGTGGAGTGAAAGTCCTCTTCCTTTTTAGAAGCCCCCTTGGAACTCTGCCTTGAAACAGTCTCCACAAGCCCACCCGAACAGACCTCCAGGCCTTCTCTCAACTCTCAGAGTTCCCACCTGCCTCCAATTCAAATCAGCCCTAATTAGTACAGTTGTACCCAAAACATTAGGAAGACTTATCTTTGACCATTTCCTTCTTTCCTCATATTGCCTGTTGTCTGGAAGACTAGGAATGCTTGTAGTTTTGGGGACAGGAAGTAGGAAGAAGACTTGAATCTGACTGGTGTTTCTTCTGAACCATTCCCCGCCCGGGGCAGTTTCTTGACACGAGATAGTCTTTAGTCGAAACTTAAAATCTTTACCTCGCATTTCCCCTCTAAGCTACATCTGATCTCTCCAAAACCCAACACGTCATACGTTGATGGTTCCAACATGCAACTATTCAGTGTTTACCTGGAAATGGGAAAGCTTTGCTGTCACCACCAGCCCCAAGGACCACAGAAATCTTCACCAGTTGCGTTCCCATTTCTGAAACAAATGCCAAAATCGCCCTGTCTAGTTTTTAAAGTCCACAAACTCAACTTATTTTCTTTTTCTTTTTGAATTGCTCTTCTCATACACAATCTCTGTGTGTCTATGGGTTTGTGAATTTCTCTGTGTTTCTTGATATTAACTAACTATTAATTAACTAATGGCTGACTTGCTAATCCTTTTCAAAATCTAGCATACACTTTAGCCATGACTAAAAGCCCACTTTTATCCTTTTAAAGATGATTGTAACTGACCTCTGTAATGCTTACTTACATGGTGTATGGCCACTTCAACAGTTGGACCCTCCCAAAGGCATGGCTGTTAGGCTCTGAAGTAAATGCAAACTTGAATTACTGGGAAATTGCCTGCAGAATTAGTAGAAAGGGCCAGCATATTTATTCCCTTTCTCCATAAAACAGGAATGGCTTTTGAGTTCCTGGGGTCATTGTGGTTGACTGCAGGGCAGATCCCAGCAGGCACTAAAGAGATGGGCAGGCAGACACTTGCTGGGTGAGAGTACAATCTGCCCAGATTCTAACACAATCCCATTAAGTGTTTGATGGAAAGCCTTGTTGCTAACTTCCTTTACACTCTGTTGACAGAGACAAAGTTGGGTAGGTCACACAAGAACACATTCACTTCAGATAATCCTTGAAAGCTTGTTTGGAGGTGGGAGAGGGAGGAGGGTAGAATCCAGTGCACAGAACCGTCTGACCTAAAGGCTGTTTTTGGATTGGAAAGATAGTCCACTTTGAAAGCTTTAGGAGATATGCACATGGAGAGGTAAGCCGGGGAACATTCAGCCTGTTCACCAAATTATTTGGCCCTTGTAATCAACAAGGTGGTTGACAAATAAATGAGCATTCATTTTTACTACATATTTGTTGAGTGATCACTACATTCTAAACCTTGCGACTAGGTTACCCTTATATCTGGACTGTAAGCTGTTAATGAACTGCCATTATTTATTTTACTTCTTTTGTGCTAGACAGAACCTAGCACCTTGTAGACCCTTAACTTAGTGATTGCTATTTGACTGCTATCAAATGACCTATTGAGAAACAGTCATAATCTCCAGTTTGAGTAATCCAAACTGTCACCCTTCCAACCATCTCCTTCAATTGTAAAGTTATACAGGGAAATAAAATGGGAAATGAGAACCACAAAGTGAGTATGAATGTGGGAAGGACTTGAGATAGGCTTTAAGATGGAGAGAAGGTGAGGGGAAAATTATCAACTGAGTCTTTAGTAGTCCTGCCTTTTCTTACAAGGTCTGTCCCACAGCCAAGGCTGGGCATATGCCAAAACGGCTGATAGACACCAGAAGAAGGGGATTCTCTCCTACTCAGTTATCCTGGGCCCTATTGAAGTACTGTGTGTGTGTGTGTGTGTGTGTGTGTGTGTGTGTGTGTGTGTGTTTAAGAAAATAGAGAGATTTTGATGTGATTGGTGGGGGGAGGATAATGAGTGAGAAGGAGGTACTCTGAGGTATACAAGTTATTGTATAAAGTGCTAAAGAGGAACAGAATGGGAGAGGAAGTAGGATTACTCATTTGGGAGCCGTCTTCTTTATCTTACACTTCTTCCCAATTTGAGGACAAAAAGGAGGAGCACTTACATTCCCTATCCCTGAACTGTCTTACATAATCCTCTTCCCCTGTGCCACACCCCCAACCAAGAATAGTTATTAACCTAAGTGCAAGATTTACGTATAACGATAAAGTAACATTTGCTTCAGACTTCAGGACAGTCTACATTCAAGTCTTTGACAGCTTCCACATAGATCCTTCCAGAATGGGATCGCTTGCCTCCCATCCTGCTCACAGGCAGCAGGATCCTAATCAGCCAGCATCAGCCTATCACATTAGGTCTATTCCTGGCTTCTAAGAATCCTCATTAAAAAATTTTAAAGTTACTTAACAATTTCAAACTTTAATACATGTAGTCTTTATTCGGATCAATTCTGGGCAGCTTTCAGAGACAAGTGACCTGGTATCTATCTACCCAGGACAAATGTGCCTGAGATAGAAACAGAGCATCATCCTTTCCCCCAAATATCTTGGGCTTTTTTCAGGATTTTTAAAAAGATTTCAACTTGACTCTCCCTTTTGAATCCTTGTGGGTATGAGCCTTCGGCCCTCCCAGCCTCAGAGGGAAGAGAACCCTTTCCCAGGTTTTCTGTTGCATCTGGCTCCATGCCTAGCTTCATCCCGAAGCAGCATTCTGGGTGTGTGGGGCCACCAGCCAAACAAGCCCCTATGGATACAAAAAGTGTGTCAGTGTAGACAGGAATGAGCCTGCAGAGGGCTGTGGTGTAGGCAGGCAGTGAGCCCCAGATGTGACGTGGGTGGCCTCTCTGGCGCTGGTCCATTTTGGACCTCTGAGGCCAGGCTCTGGCATGGTTCCTGTACCTAGAAGTGACCACGTCCAGGTCACAGGGCTTGCTGCCAGCCTGACCTCCCAGCGACATGGACAACGAGCTGGATGTCTCTTTCTGGTTCCTCCCTCTACCTGTCCACAGGCCTAATTTCAGAGTCCTCCATAACAGCTCCTACATAGTTTCTACATAACATCTGGGATCACATCATTCATGGTTCCTATAGACGTGTTTCACAAAGTGCATGCATACAAGAAAGAATGCTTAATCATGGAGAAGAAGAGTAAGGTGTCATCTAAGAGCCACTGACCTTTCCGCACTGCACTGGGGCTTCCTTGCCCTTCCTCTTTACCTTAGCACAATGAAGCAAACTTTCCATGGTTTTTGGAGGAAAATACTCAGAAGAAGCTACTCAAACTGTTTCTTGATCCCATGCCAAGTCCCCAAAAGTGCCCACCATGGTACCCTGGACACAAGGCAGTAGGCAAGCATCCCAAGAGTATTCACAGTCCTATACTAGATGTAAAAAAAAAACAGGAAAGCCTGCCAGAGGGAGCAGCCATTCATGTAAAACTTCCACTTTCAAACACAAAGGTAGGGGGGCAGCAGTACGATTGATGCAGGAGGGGCTGATCTAAGAGAAAGGATAAGAGGACGAAGGGCATCCATTGGGCCCTCTAGGAAGGGTCCCAAAAAGCTGCAAGAGTTCTAGAAGCAATTAACCAACATCAGTTTGGAGAGTCTACACAGCAAGTCCTCAGCGTCGGGCCAAGAGATGTGCAGGACTATATAAAGATAAAATCTGCTCTTCCACATGCTGAGTCTTTGACATTATAGGTCCCAGGGCCATGTAATTTCTTGTTTCAGATGTTATAAGATGTGATTACTTAGATTGATCTTCAACAAAGTCAAACTACAGTAACACAAATCTCAGCAGTAGAAAGGACTCAGATGAATATCTCGGGCAATGTCTCACCCAGGCAGGAATCCCTCTCATAGCATCTCTGACTAGGGTCAGCTGGCTTCTACTAAAGAAAACCCACTCCTTCATGAGGCAGCCAGCTCCAGTTCTTGGCAGTTGCATTTTTAGAAAGCTCTTCCTCCCATCTGTTGCTCCCAGATCTGGCCCCTAGACACAGAGAGGGCAGCTCCATTCCCTCTGCCTCAGAAAATTGGCAGAGCATTTTCTTATATCTCTCTGAAAAATGAGAATTAAAGAAACCAGAGGTGGATCCAGGGCTCATTGTTTTCCAATAGACAGTGCTCAGCCATTGTAAATGACAGTGGGCAAAAAGTGACTGTGTATTTCAGAAATACTGTGGTTTAAGAAAAAATGGCTCAAGCAGTGCTCTTAGGAATTTGGAGTCCTCGGAGGGATTTAGGAACCTAAATCTCAAGGTCAAGCTGGAGAGCTGTCTGCTTCCAGGTCTCCACCTGTGCCAAACTTGGCAGAGGTAGGCACTGGGCCAGGAAAGATCTAAATCTATGACCCTAGAGAGAGATACAGTTCTTAACTCCTCATCCTAAATAAAGGGGATCTAACAAAAGCCATACATGCATGCACAGGGCAGCCTTAGCAAAACTGAAAGGGGACTTCATAGAATAAGTCTCTTTCTGATTGCAGTAATGGTTTTGTTCCTTCCTATTTCTTCTTCCTCTAGTAACAACAAACAGTAACCAAAAATCAGAGACCCACTAATCTCAGTATCATCCTCCCTATGAGAAAACTAGACAAACGATTAAAAAAGTCCTCACTCCAGGCCTGCCCCTAATTCTTCCAGTAAGACCATTATCTAAATCAGCCATGAATCTCTACCTTCAAGGAGAATGATTTCTCTTTGCTTCCTCATATATTCAAAACTCTCCAAAGGCAGCAATAGCGTCTTTGTTTACATTTTCCACCCACTAAAATAGGAAGACTTACTGTTTAAAACAGACTGCAAGAACCTCCTCTACCAAGAGAAACTAAGTTGCAGGAAATAGGCCTGAGGACCAGTGGAGATAAAGACTGTAGTCTCTCAGGTGGGCAGTGGCTGGACTGGAGAATCACTCTACCGTCCAAATGCTAATGTTCAGTTCTCTGTTCCTTACATTTCGTGCTGGGATAAGACAGTGCCGGTAAATGCTGGCCAAAATGCCTGGTGGGTGATTTCATACAGCAAGGACTTAGAATCTTGGAAGGACCACAGAAGAGAAATGACCTGTTTTTTGCTTTCTATGGAGTGTGGAAACTCCATTAAAGCGATTTTTTAACTAGGGCGCAGACCAAGTCCATTCAATTATCTCTGCCAGGGAAGACATTGTGAGTCCCAATAAACAGGTACTAACCCCCAGGACAACGACAGGCCTCTACAGGCAGAAGTGCTGAGATGCCTTAGGAAACCTTCCATTACGCCTAACTCCCATTAGTGGGTCCCACTCTTCCCACTCTAAAAGGAAATTTTCATTGCCACCAGCTCATTCCCCAGGAGACCTCCTCTGCTCACTCTGCTCAGAACACATGACTTTGGGCACTAAGAAGTAGGACTAAAGACAAAAGAGGCAGAGGACAGAGCTGAGTTTGCTTTTACTCTAGGAGATTACAATCAGAAACATCTTCGCCTGGCAAGGATTGTGGCTAGTGGGTACAGGCACTGAGTTTGAAGCAGTTGTGTGGAAACCAGGCTACTTGATACTTAGTACTATTATAACCTCAAGACAGCCCAAAGGGAAAGCAGTTACAATGTTGTCTTGTCTAAGAGCTACTCACTTCTTTTTAAAGAGCTTGCGGAAGGAGCTGCGAAAGCCCCCTTTCTGGTCTTGCCTGGGGTTTTGATCGCTGAAAGATGTTTGTTCACTTTCTCTTTCTTCCTTTGGACAGAATCGGGTGGTGTCTTCTAAATGCATCTCCTGAAAACACACACACAAAAAAGGATGTTTTTATTTCCCACTCTTTTCCAAAGTTAGTATCTATCCTGACTGTGGGACATTTTTTTTCTTAACTCTGTCAACTTTCCTCTTCTACCCCCAAAGACTTATGGTGGGTACCCTATACCAACTAAAGGAAACCTAGACTAATTAAGAAATTAGTAACTGGAAAGAAGATAATTTTCTGCCAAGTGTAGAAATATTTTTTATGTATCAAGGCAAAGAGTCTATATCATAATCTTGTATAATATGACAATAGTTAAAGATCAGGAGATAAAGGAAATTGGCAAATGTTAAGAGTATAGAGATTAACTTTTTATTCTGGCACGAATAATATCTTGCTGGAAAATCAGTTATAGTTCTCATATCTCTGGGTATGTTTCTCTTTCTACAAAACAAGGAAGTTCCTTGATTGTAATACTAGTTTTAAACTAATGTTCCTAACTCTGCAGTTTAGACATAAATGAGAATGGAATTTTTGAGAGGTGTCAGATCTGTTTAGAAGTAAATGTCAACTAACATTTCCAACCTGTTTATGTGCCTTCAATACAGTTCATTCAACTCTTAGTCCATGGCATTTGGAGTGTAAAGTAAAAATAAGGCTCTATCTTTTGTGAACTCTCTAACTACTTTTAAACTGTGAGATGTGCTAGATAAAATAGATGTGCATATATATTCATATTCCATATGAACAAAATATTTAGTTTGAGGTGACTAAAACTTAAAGCAACTAAAAAATAGATGGTTAATTTTGAACCCAAGAACTCAAAACAAAAACCACCCTGAAAGTTTCATGAATTGGATGGATGACTGCTTGCTGAAGCAAAGGTTGGGGGTGAATTTTTTTTCAAGAAACATATGAGTTTGAGTTTGAGAACTTAGCTTGGGGTTGTAGTAACAGATCTAGAGATTCTCTGATATTCCACTAAGGTTCACTAACTAAACCATGGAGACTAACGTCTTGATGGCTTAGTGTGGTGTTTCTCAAAGTGTGGGCCTGGAGCTACAGGATCAACTGGGGCCTTTATTTAAAATGTAGATCCCTGACCCCTGACCCAGACTTTCTGAATCAGAATCTCTGGACTTATGCACATAAATTTTGAAAACCAATGGTTAAAGGTATACTCCTGTCCAATTGCACCTAACGTTTATATGAATCATCTAGGAATCTTGCTAAAATGCAGATTCTGATTCAGTGGTTCTGGGGTGGGACAAAAATTCTGCATTTATAACAAGCTCCCAGGTAATGCATTCATTACTAGCCCAAGAAGCACATTTTGAGAAGTGGGCTTTTAGGGACTATTTAGAACTAAATCTATTAATAGTTTAAGGAAAACCTTTCTGTGGAATAATGATCTCGATAATATCGTGCACTCGTTTGTATAGCATTCCATACTTTGCAAAGTATATTCACAAACGTTCTCTTATTTCACCTGATCCTCACAACCCCATGAGGTAGGAAGGGTATATAGTGTCTTATTTTTACAGATGAGAAAACTGGAAGCACAGAGAAGTCAAGTGAATTGTCCACGAGCACACAACTATTTGGCAGCAGAGCTAGGACTAGAACCCAAATATCCTGCCACCTAGTCAAGTGCTCTTGGCAATAAAGCATACCCTCTTCTTTCTTAGAGCACTAAAGACTAGGGGCTGACCTCTTTGATTGTCCCAAGACCTTCAAACCACAAGGTTAGACATCAAAATACTAGACACTGATATGGAGACCAAAGAAAGTGATTGTGAATCAATGCTTTCTTGGCTATTTTGTGTCGTCCCCATCCCAATGGAGTCTGCAAAGTCACGTGACACCCTTTTCCAGTCAAAAGGAAAGCAGTAGGAAATACACTTCGCTTTGCAATGAACTTTGCAGGGAATCCACAGTGAGACAGGGCAATTTGCGCCTTCCCTAACTACACACCAAGTTGGTGCGGATCGGGGAGTAGACTAAGCTGGCACAGTGTTCGGTATTTTGAACACTTAAACAAGGCGGTGTGCCTAAAAGGCAGAAGAAGAAACAGACAGTCCTGGGACTTGCCTGCAGTGCTTTGCAAGTGAAGTGCAACCCTGAGGTGCTACAGCTTGAGCAGTAAGGCAGAAGAAACCCCTTACTGCTTCACTGGGCGTGGGGATGATGGTGTAAACAGGTGTAAGACTCGTCAATGTCTGTTTTATCTCTTTGCCGTCAGATACATAGATACACTTATGGCACGTGCTCTTATGTCTTGGTACGAACTGCAGAATGCGCGCTAACTCTCGCCTACTCGGGCAACTAAGATCCATACAAACCTTTACCCTGGCATCTGCCATAACTGGACGGTGGCCTAGCAAGGCCTGGCCCCCAATCCCCACCTGGCAAGGCACCCTGAACGCTAGGTGAGCCCGGGCTGCTCCCTGGCTGTCTAGGTCCGGGACTGCCAGCGCTGTGGGTTGGGGTTCGGTTTTACTTTACCCTCCTTACTTCCAAATAGGTCTGCTTTTCGCTTTGGGACCTCTGTTGGGGAAAGTAGGCCCTGGGCACGCCGCGAGCGGCGGCCACGGCGGTCGGGCCGTGCGGCTGCGCGGCGCGCTCGGCCTTGAGCGGCGCGCGGCCGCCGCTGCTGCTGCGCGTGCTGTAGAGGCGCGGGGCCACGCCCTCGGCGGGCGGCGCGCGCGGGAACTCCTTGAGCGAGCGGCTCAGCGGCTTGGCCTTGCCGTGCGCCTGCGCAGCCGCCTCCAGCTTGTAGGCACCGCTGCTGCTCGCGGGCGACGTGGCGCTCTTGGGCAGCTGTTGTAGCGGGTGTTCCGGCCTCTCGGCCTCCATAGCGAAGCTGACAGGCCGGAGGAAGCATATGTCCAAGCTGGACTCGGAGGAGGCGGGCGAGCAGTTCTCGAAGAGGGCCGGGGCCTGGAAAGGCTCCTCGTCGTAGGGCGCAGGCAGCGCGAAGATCTCGCCGCCATATTCAAACTCCTCGTAGGCCGTGGGCACGAAGCCGCGGCCGTCGGGCAGGAGCTCGGCCGGGGCGCGCAGGGAGCGCTCCACGTTGCCCAGCGAGGGCTCGGCCGGCGAGGGCTCATAGTCCATCTCCGGGATGGCCTGCAAGGGCCCGGCGAGCGCCTTCACGTCCTGCTCGGCGGTACAAAACTGCGAGGGCGCCAGGAGGTTCTCCGGCCTCTCGTGCTTCCTGCTCTCCATCTCCCAGTCACTGGGCTTCCCCGGCTGCATACTCTCCATCAAGCCTTGCTGTTGTTGGCTTTTCTTCATTGGGGGCAGCAAATGTCTTTAAAGGGGAAACAGTACAAAAGAGGAGTGCTTAAGGTGTGTTAGTGCAGGGCACTGACCGAGCAGCTGAGGCCAGGAGCAGCACCCTGCCTGCCTGATGCTGCCAAGGCGCAAAAGCGCCAGTTCTCTCCGCCCCTCCCACACACCTACGCGTTACCTACTGACCTCCACGGGCCTCTCTGATTAAGGAGTTCCCACGAGCCCTGGCCCCCCAAGTGACAGTGGATGTCTGTAAAGTGGATGCCCGAAGTATCCGTCTGAGCAAGGAGGCACGGCGTAGAGATGGCCAGTGGGCCACTCCCCACCATGTATCAGGGCCCCAAGGTAACTCCTCTTTCCTCTCTAGCCCAGTAGAGTCATACAAAATAGTGGAAACAACTTTCGTGTTTGATTCATGGGTCTTAACACGTAAGAACACATTTCTAAGTAAAATAACTGTGGTAGGATGTTGATAACTGAACCTGGACGATGGTATATGGGACTCACTCTAAACTTTACTTTTATGTACCTTTGAAATTTTTGTAGTAAAAAGGGAAAACAAATTCCCTGTGGCTATAAATCATGTAAGTTGTCTCAAACTCCCACAAAAACTACTAAAATGAAAAGGTTCTCACTGTAAATATGGCCAATTTCATGCGGGGTTTTTTTCCTCGTGGATAACAATTTACATAGGATACTAAGATGGCATACACATCAAATGGATGTTATTTGCCAGTTCTGCTGGAATTTAATTGCCAGACAGATGTGAGTGGGTTACTATACACTGACCCAATCTGATTATTCCGCTATTTTATTTGTTCATATATAATTTTACCTTCAAATATGCATAAAGAATACACATGTCATTGCTAACATTGAATACCTTTCTCCCATGATCTTAAGATGAAACTTGGCTCTTACTCTTAACAGAGGTGGAAAGAAATAGTAAGATGGAATATTGACTTGACTTGAATTCTCTGTTAACTTGGATTTTTTTTTTCTGACTGTTTTCCCAACAGAGCATGATGACAGCCGTTTTGTGCAGTCTAAGTATAATCCCTAGGGATTTTATTTGTTGGCTCTATTTGTTGCACTTCAGCAACAATAATTTTATTATTGTTTTAAGAGCTGAAATGATCCACAAAGTAAATATACACTTCCTGCCTATTTCTCTTCCATTCTCCACCCAGGAAAGGATTTTTTTTTTTCTGTGTTGAGTTCTCTCCCTGCAGGACTTCTAGGATTTTCTCTATAGAAAGCATCCTCGGCTCTACTTATAGAAAGGTTAATGTCTCATGGTTTTCACAATGATTGTGGAATTTCTCCTTCCTGCCTCTCCTCATTTCCACTCCAATCTCTCACTGATAAATGTTCTCAGTTTTAAGAGATGAGAGCAAAAGGATAAAATGAGATTTATTTTGCATTAATGACAGTTGCTCCTTCCGATGATTGTAATTGGTGTTTTAAAAGCTGCAGTAATTGAAAATTGAAATAATCTCAATGGCTTACCTCTGACTGACTTCATTATAATTTGGGGGAAGAATACTAAATAGCTTCTTGTATGACTTGTAATTTTTGCTTAAGAATAAAACCCAAAGGAGAAGTTATAGTATAAGAAATTACTTTTGTGAGAATTGTCTATATTTAACAAAGTGGGGATTTGGAATTTTGAGTTTGGGTTTCCCTTAATCTTCCAGAACCCCTAGTTCCAAAAGTAGCCAAGTTGACTTTATCCTTCAAAGGTAAAATGAGTTCCAGATAAATAAATGGTCTAATCATTACTCTAAATATCATCAGGAGGTTTGCAGAATGAAAATGCAGCTTAATGTGTTACAGGGTTGTATGCAGAGACTTTAAAAGGCTGTCAGATCCATCCACTACCCAGAATGGCTTTCAGAGAAGCTATGATAAGTGAAGAATGGAGCGTATGCTTTCCCTTTCTGAGAAAGCTTCTAGGAGAGTTGGAAAGGGTTAAACAACATTTGTTCTGGATCACCTCAGACCTATTTTTTATCCTCAGAGCCCAGACTTTTCACTGACCCCTGAATGAGACTTTCTTTCCCTCCACTATGTTTGGAGATCTTAGGTGGGTTCCCACCCTTTTGAGGGGTTGCAAAATGCCTCCTGTCTTCTTATGACACTCTCTTCTACTCTATCATTGTTCAAACCCAAAGAGACTCATGCTGTAGATAGAGGGTGGTTATGTGCAGTTACCAACTTGTTGGGAGTGACCTTCAGCCTTTACACCTTCCCTTCCAACAGGGGTGTCCAACCTTTTGGCATCTCTGGGTCACACTGGAAGAAGAGTTGTCTTAGGCCATGTATTAAATACACAAACACTAATGAAAACTAATGAGCCAAAAAAGAGGTTTTAAGTAAATTTACGATTTTGTGTTGGGCCACATTCATAGCCATCCTGGGCCTCATGTGGCTCACAGACCGCAGGTTGGACACCCCTGCTGGGGATATAACCATTGGGTCACCTGCTTTCCTGTCACACACAAGCCTGATTGACAAAGAGGGATGGAGGGGTTCTGTTGGTCATACTCCTAATCCAGGCTGGCCTACTACCCCACACAGACCATCTTGGACCCAAAGGCATTGCCATTAACCTTTCCACAGCAACAGGTGCTTACGTGACAGGAGGGCCAGAACTTGGAGCAGAAGGGTAGGGTTGCAACATCTCTTCGGAATGGATCCCACTGTCACGGACAGCTTCAGAGCCTGCAGTGGGGGAAGCATCTTGTCCGGCATTTGCACACTGGGAAGCCAGCCCTTTGTACAGTTTTGCCATGGAGGACCTAATGGAATGGAAATAATAATTTTCAGAGTGTGCGATGGGAAACTGGCTTTTTGAATACACAGATTATACCAAGAAAGATAGGGAGACAGTGTTTCTTAGATGAAGCTCAGCTATGAAGTTCTCTCTCTCTCTCTCTCTCTCTCTCTTCAGGGCCCTCTACATACCAGGTTGCTTACATAATAGGTGTGTGAACCGGATGTTGACAGTAGGGATGCTGATAAATTGGCTGAATTGAGTCTGGGGAAGAGGGATGGTATGGGGAGCTGTCCCCCATTAGAGGAGCCCTGGCGTGGGAGATAGCACCTTTTTCTTGTCTGAAGCACCCACAGAAATGACTCTTCCTTATTAGGATGTGATGAGGTTGAAGGAAATCCAGGTCATTAGGAAGCTCTGCTATTGGTTTCTTCTATTTTCTCTGAAGCCCAGATTCTCCCTCGTAAGCCTTTCCTGTTTCTTCTTAGCATGAAATCTCTTCAACCACCATCCTCTCCCTTATTTGTTTTATTTTTATCCATAGCACTTATCGGTAACTATTGGCTCCCCAGGTCTAGAAAGTTAGCTCCATGTGGCAAATATTTTTGTTGTATTTTTTATTGCAGTATATTCAGTGCATAGAAACAGTACCTGATACACACAAATAGGTGCTCAATAAATATTTGTTGAGTTAAAGAAACCACACTCTGGCCTTTAAACTGTATTTTTAAATCTGGTGAATTTAGGGGAACTATTTTTGTGGTAGTGAACATGAGTAATGAGACGGTCTATATAAGCATTAGAGTGAAAGTGCTTATTTTTCTAAAGTAATTTCCACCAGGTAGTAGGTGCTTCCCCTCTTGTAGCCAATCTGGCCACCTCTCTTCCCTCCCCTCTCTTCTTATTGTCACTGCATTTTAACCACTTAACATATAATGCGATTGCTTGTTACACACACCCACATTGTTTGTGTCCTGTTCTCAGAAGCCTCTGATCAACCCTCTAGACTGCAATCAGAACCTTACTTCTTGAGCTTTTTCCGTTTCTGAATAAGCAAATCCTCATTGCATTGAAACAGCAGGGTGTAGTGTGAGATAAATACTCGAAGACGCTGAACACACACCAGAAGTAGATAATAGTCGGGGTGTTCCTGCTCTGTGAACTTCAGGACATTCTGGATGAAGGAAAAAAGGAAGCAGTATTGCATAATTAGAATGAAAAGTTGTTTTTTCTCTTCTGCACCTTGCCTTGATTTGTTGTGAGAGTTTGGTAGCTATTTAGTCAAAACAATACATATGGCCAATCTAATTATAAGCCAAAGAGTCAAACTTGCTGTATTCTTTGTCCATCACACCAAGGGAAAATAACAGTCACTATCGCGCCTATATGAGTTGGATGTGAATGTAAGATAATTCCATCTGAAAAGTAAGGATCTATTAATTAGATCTCTGAGGTAATGGAGCCATTTTAACAATTGCTGTTGATAAGCAATACTTACATGACCCATAGGAGTCAGACCAATGGTGAAAATACCAGGCATCAAGGCACTCTGCGAAAGGCAGGGTGTATGACCAATCCCAGCCTGGTGGTCCCTTCTATTACACTGACTACTGAGCTCTAGTGGAACATGCATGCAAGATGGATTTGGGAAAGCTAACACTTAATGAATACTTCCTATTGCCAGCACCAAGTCATTTACATATATTTTCTCATTTAATTTTTACCATAACTTCATTAGATAGGTACCATTATTACCTTCACTTAACAAGAAAATCAATGTATACAGCAAAGTTAACTAATCTTCATTAGGTTACACATGTAGTAAGTAGCAGAACCAGGATCTGAACTCAAGTCAGCCAATAAATAGAACCAGGGCTCTTATTTACCATACTGTTCGCAAGACCTGGGTTTCGGTCCTAACTTTTTCACCTATAAGGTGTGTTAACTTAGGCAAGTTACTTCTTTGCCTCTCCATTTCCTTATCTTTAAAAAAATGATAATAATGATACCTGTTTTATGAGCTTGTTGAAAGGATTAAAGAAAATAATTATTGTGAGAAAAGTATTTTAATATCTAAAGCTGTACAATTGAAAATCTTTTTGATGTCGATAGTGGACTCCTTCCACCTGTGATAAATCCCAAGCATATCTAAGATGCTTTCGTTGAATTACTTAGAAAGGTCAGTCAGCAAATAAACCAGGACAGGTGGGTGGTGGGAAGAAGAGGGGCCCATAAGAGTATTGTTGAGCCACCCTCTCAACTCTACTTCCTCCGAGGTCGATAAGACCTGTAGGAAAAAGGTGTGGAGAAGTCAGCTCATCAGTTTCTTCATGCTGGTTCTTTGGCATAAGACAGAAGCAATGTTTGGTAAACCCCTGGACGCAAGCCAAAAGAAAGTAGTCAGGGTAGCAGTTAAATGGGCAGGTTACATGGATAGTTCTTAGACTCCAGAAGTGGGGGGGGGTGGGCAGTGAGGGTTAGGGGATACATTTAGATGGCTGTAGAACAAAGGTGGAAGGGACTGAATAGGCAGTCAGAGTCTAGTAGGAGCTGCTATAGAAAGATTCTGGATCAGCAGAGGTGGAGATTGTCAGTTATTGAAGCTAGAATGTCAAAGGCAGGCATCGTGAGGCAAACATTTTGAGAGATTGAGATTTTAGCTCATACCACAAGGTGGGATGGGAAAGTCATTAGCACTCTTAAGTTATTTAAATATATTTTAGAAATACTAATTATTCCTTCCTGATCTCTTACAGTGTCTCTTGGAAGCCAAAAACAACAGTTTAGCCTGATAATCACTTTGGGGGCTTGCCCAGCCATGCCTACCTGCAGATGTATCAGATATTCAGGGATGCGCTGGACTATGTGAAAGAACAGTGTATAGATGTCAGATTTAATCTCTTCATCACCCTGAAGAAAGAAAGGTAGAATCACTCTTTGGTGTCTCTCCAGTTCTGGCTTCAGAACCCCAGTGCCAGTCCTGCCAGAGTAGAAAAAGTTGACTCTCAGAGTATTCTCTTCCTCTAGAGTGTCATGAAGCATGATCTGTTGTTGGACAGGCCACTTGTTCAAGGAAATGCTCAAGGAGACAATTCTTCTTTAGCAGAGAGCATATTATATACTTCCTTTTAATATACCCAACTTTTCAAATTGCCCCCTCCATCCTCAACCTCAGATATTAGCACAGTGCTATACAGAAGTGGGCACTCAATTAATTATATTTAACCTGAATGAAGTCATTAAGATTCTCCAGCAAGTAATCATTACAATGGTTTACTAATAGGCACTTAGGCTGGTTTGAGCCTGATGAGAATGGGTGAAAGAATATGATCAGAAACTGGCCAGCTGGCCTGGCAGCAGGAAACAAGTTGGACTTTCTCCATGTTCCCTTCCCTTCCCTTCCCTTCCCTTCCCTTCCCTTCCCTTCCCTTCCCTTCCCTTCCCTTCCCTTCCCTTCCCTTCCCTTCCCTTCCCTTCCCTTCCCTTCCCTTCCCTTCCCTTCCCCCTTCCCTTCCCCTTTCACCCTTCCCCTTCCCCCTTCCCCTTTCCTTCCCTTCCCTTTCCCTTCCTTTTCCCCTTCCCTTCCCTTCCCTTCCCCTTTCCTTCCCCTTTCCTTCCCCTTTCCTTCCCCTTCCCTTCCCTTCCCTTCCCTTCCCTTCCCTTCCCTTCCCCTTCCCCTTCCCTTCCCCTTTCCTTCCCTTCCCCTTTCCTTCCCCTTTCTCAAATATTTTCTGAGTACTAACAGGTGGTAGGCATTACACTGAGTTGGGAGTAGTAGGGTAATGTAGAAAATCAGATCCTCACCTCCTGTGAAACTTGATTAATTCTTAACTTTAGGGCTTCTGATACAGTTTCTTCCTATTAACCTAAAATAACTAGAATTGTTTTATATTTATAATGCTTGTTGAGCACCGAATAGAGCATTGTACAAGCAGTTCTTAAAGCTACATGACTAGAATCACTTTGCAATCTTATAAAATGACAGATACAGGATGACTTGAGTTTAATAGTCAGATTATATAAGTTTAATATTCAGATTCATATTGTCTGAGCCTAAAAAAAAATCCCTCATATAACATGCAGGCTGCAGCCTGAGGATCTCTGCTTAGAAAACCTGTTTACTTTGCCTAACTTCCAGTGGAGTTGAGCAGATGGTCCGTGAGGCAAGGCAGGGACAAAGCAATGGCACTCATCCTTGAGTGAGCTTCTTGAACCCCAGGGAGGAGTGTCAGTGGCTCTGCTCAAGCCATTCCCCAACCTGGAAGACAAACTCAGAGTGCATGTGCTGTATGTCCTGGGTGGGTGAGCAACATCATATGGTACACAGGTAACCAAAGGATACTGTGCAGATAGAGTGAACTTACCTCCTTCAGAACAACAACATGAACCAAAGAGATGCATTCAGGCAGGTCCCTCAGGTAGGCAACATAATAATCCAAGAAATTATTCTTGAAAACAAACATAAAAATGCATGGTAAGAACCTGGAAACAGGAATGATAGCAGCCAATTTTTTATAGTCATATATATCAAAAAGAAGTACTTTGAAGAGACAACCATTCATTTAATGTGTTCATTAATGTGTTCTTGTTTTATATTCATCTTTTTGAAAAATCTTTTGGGTTTTAAGGTAGATATCCCTAAGGACTTGGGGAAAAGTAAAATGATAAACTAAGGCAGAGGAGAGAAATTATGTAAACTGAAAAAGTATTTTAAATTATTTAATGATAAAAATGCATATTTTGTTTTAAGATTACTTTTATTTTAATCATCTACATCCAAATGAGGGATTTTGTTCAACCCACTTCATAGTGTCTAGACCAATGGTTCTCAACTTTTTCCACCAATCACATGTTCACCTATGCAATATATCTTTGGGAAAACAATTCTCAGCTTCCAAAGTTATATTCCCACAGAAATAACAAATCTTAACCCAAGAAATTATACTGAATACAAATAAGTAAAAGCAATATGAGCAGGGTAGCATTACATCTACTCTAATCTGCACAACTAGGTAATTTGTAAACTTTGTATTATTGTCCACAGTTGAGAACCCTTGATGTACAGAGGTTGGATGCAGGCAAAATCTGGCTTGCAGACCAATTTTAATTATCCCACACAATATTTTTAACATTTTATTGATTATGCCATTACAGTTTTCCCATTTCCCCCCTTCATTCCCTTCCACCCTGCACATCCCCTCCCCCCACATTCCTCCCCCTTTAGTTCATGTCCATGTGTCACAAATTCTTTAGCTTCTACATTTCCCACACTATTCTTGCCTTCCCCTGTCTATTTTTCCCCCACTGTCTATGCTACTTATTCTCTGTACCTTCTCCTCCCCTCTCCTCTTCCCACTTCCCTGTTGCTAACCCTCGATGTGATCTCCATTTCTGTGGCTCCGCTCCTGATCTAGGTGTCCACTCACTTTGCTTTTGTTTTAGGTGTAGTTGTTAATAACTGTGAGTTTGCTGTCCTTTCACTGTTCATATTTTTTATCATCTTTTTCTTAGATAAGTCCCTTTAATATTGCATATAATAAGGGCTTGGTGATGATGAACTCCTTGAATTTGACCTTATCTGAGAAGTGCTTTGTCTGCCCTTTCATTCTAAATGAAAGCTTTACTGGATAGAGCAATCTTGGATGTAGGTCCTTTCCTTTCATGACTTGGAATACTTTTTTCTAGCCCCTTCTTGCCTGTAAGATCTCTTTTGAGAAATCAGCTGACAGTATGATGGGAACTCCTTTGTAGGTAACTGTCTCCTTATCTCTTGCTGCTTCTAGAATTCTCTCCTTCATTTTAATATTGAGTAATGTAATGATGTGCCTTGGTGTGTTCCTCCTTGGGTCCACCTTGTTTAGGACTCTCTGAGCTTCCTGGACTTCCTGGAAGTCTATTTCCTTTGCCAGATTGGGAAAGTTCCCCTTTATTATTTGTTCAAATAAGTTTCCCACTTGTTGCTGTTCCTCTTCCCCTTCTGGTACCCCTTCTGGTACCCCTATAATTTGGATGTTGGAACGTTTAAAGATGTCCTGGAGGTTTCTAAGCCTCTCCTCATTTTTTTTTTGAATTCTTGTTTCTTCATTCTTTTTCTGTTTGGTTGTTTCTTCCTTCCTTCTGGTCCACTCCCTTGATTTGAGTCCCAATTTTCTTCCCATCACTCTTGATTCCCTGTGCATTTTCCTTCATTTCACTTAGTGTAGCCTTCATTTTTTCGTTTAATGTGCAACCAAAATCAACCAGTTCTGTGAGCATCCTGATCACCAGTGTTTTGAACTGTGCATCTGATAGGTTGGCTATCTCTTGGTCACTTAAAATTATTGGTTCTGGGGCTTTGATTTGTTCTTCAGTTTGAGCCATAATTTTTGGGTCTGGTTGCACCTGTTACATAGGAGCCTGAGGTGTCCACGAGGGCACAGCAACCCAGTTGCTGAGTTGTGATGCTGTATGTGGGGGCGGGGTCAGAGAGGGAACAATGGTGCTTGCTCTGCGCTCTCTTGGATTTCAGTCCCTTCTGCCACTTTCCACAAGCAAATTGGGCCCTTCTGATGCTGGTTTCCCGGGTGGTGGGCTTGTGTACATTCTAGGACCCTGTGGGTCTCTCCAACAATCTGTCCTATGAGGATGGGAGTGTTTTCCAGCACCTCAACCCCCACAAGTGTTTTCAATCGGTGCTTTAACTTTCCATCACTGGGGCCCTGGATTGCACAGTCTATCTCACTGCCCATTTTTGCCTGGTTTATCTGTGCACAAATGTGCGCCTGTGCTTAGCCAACTGCCTTGTATGCCTCACTGGGTTTGCTCAGTTCCTCCCCACACCCGGGATCTACTAGCCCCACCACTTGTGCAAGCTTTTTCCTGCCTCAACTCTTCTCCAGTGGCTGCTGACCCTGCCCCTCTTACCAGTCTGGATGAATGTTTCATTGTTGGACTTCGGTACAGTTCAATTTTCTGTCTGTTCTGGTTGTGTTCTTGTTTCTAAATCTTTGTTGTCCTTATTTTTGGCTGTGTGAGGAGGCACAGTGTTTCCACCTACACCTCCATCTTGGCCCTCCCCTACACAATATATTTTTTTTAATAATTAATTTTATTTAGTTATTTTTCAAGTACAGTTTTTTGTCCTACACAATATTTTTAAGATAAGAAAATCTCACACAAAATTCTGGATTTCCAGCTGCTCTTTAAAGATCAGACCTGGCAACTCTAGTCTTTCTCCCTGCATAAAAACTGGATAAAGCCAAGTAGTCATTCCTTATAGGAAAGCATGTTTGCTCCACTTAAACTCACTTCCCAACATTCCCTCTTGTATTAAATTCCACCTCCTTCTACTCATTCATCTCACTGTCTGACTCTGTAGACATTTGAGTTTGCATCTTCTGGCCTGGATCTTATTTAGTTTGTAGAACCACAGGATTTTGAAACTTAGGACCCCCTTCAAGGAAGTGAAAACAAAAACATTCAAGATGAATAGCTACCCATCACTTTTTAAGTATCTCTAAGGAATGAAATTGTAAGTGAAAGTACATACATATATGCAAACTTTCATATATTTATTTTGTATGTATGTGTGGATATGTATGCATGCATTTATTTATAAATATACACAAACACACACACACACACACTTTTGTGCATGTTCAATGGCAGCAGTTATAGTATAGTGGAAAATAATGAACCGAAAGTTAGAAAACCCAGGTTCCAGTGACAGATCCACAGTTATCTGGTTAGCTGGGTGATTCAGCAAAGTTGAAATTTCCCTGAACTTCATATTATGTGTAGAATGAGGAAGTTAGACTAGATCTTGGCAGTTCTTCTAGCTTAGAAATTCACTAATTCCAGATTCTCTATTAAAAAAAGTAGATGAGGGGGTCACAGATGAGTATAATTCAAATTTATAAAGAATTGTTTAAAAACTTACCTCATCATTTGTTAATTTAAGGAATAAATCTCCAAGGACTCCTTGGCGTGGCCACTTCAGGACCCTTTCCTGCAGAGCATGAAGCAAATCCAAGTGCTGCTGGACAAGGTACCGTAAAGAGCCAGGAAAGAGGCTTGAAACAGAATAGAGAAAGAATCACGCAAACCAGGTATAGGAAAGAAAAGCCCCTACAAGAATATATGCAGCAGGGCCCATTTTCCTAGTTATTCAAAGTATTCTGAATCACAGACCTGCATTTAGTATTAAAAAATAAAAGTTTGTCATTGTAGACCTAATAGCAGATATCCTCAGGATATAAAAAGACCCCTTTACTGATGACTTCTGTAGTGTCGTGTGTTGACATAATAAAAAGCACATTACTTGAATAGTCTTTTTAAAGCCAAACTGGTCCACTGTCATTTATGTGACAGTGGAAATTCTAAAGGAAATCTTTTCCAGTGTTGTACAGTTATTCTTACTTGATGTGCAAAATTCTGTCATTATTGTTACAGATGACAGCACAAGGTGGCACTTGGTCATTCTTAGCTACTGGGTAGGAGACTGCTACTTACATAAATAGGGAATTTTGTTTAAAGCTGGCAACTAAAAGCACAAGGGAAAGGAGCGTGGCAGTGTTCCTTTTTCTCTTTCCTTTGGTTTCTAAGAATACTGGGCAAGGACAGAGTCTTGAATGGGGAGGCTATAGATCAGTCCTGGCCTGCTATTCCCTAGAGTTTCACAGAGTCCCCTTCCTACTCTCATAGTCCCTCTACCCCATCTCAGTGAGCCTCGTTTTTTTTTCCAGAGGAAATGAAGGGAGGAGGAGTGATGTCAGAGAAAGAGAGGAGAGAAAAAAGAATCATGGAAGGAAGAAGGAGGGGGATTAGATGGGGAGTGGTGGGGTGACCAGGGGCCTACAGGAACGAGGAAGGAAGAAACAGAAGGAAATGAAGTTTTGCTGAGCTACAAGCGAGGATTTGATTTCTAACTTGGTGACTTAGAGGAATATAAAATAGGTTCCCTCTGCATTCAAGATCTCAAGTTTAACAAAGATGAGAGTGATGGCCTGCTTGTCACTGAGAGCTGAACTTATTTGGCTATTTCCCTAGGATCCAGTGAGAGTAAATTAGTGGACACCTAATTAGTGGGTGCTTTGCCAACCCTGGACAAGCACTTTTTTTTTAGAACACTAGGAAGAACACCAATTCAAGAGGAAAATTTTTCAACCCATTTCCAACTAAAGCAAAGATGCCCCTGTGACTACAGCTCAGAGAAAACCCACAACACCAGATGGGGCACCCAGCTGCCTCCTGTGATAAAAGGATTTCTTCCACTTCTATCTGCTACCCCTCCACCTTCTGTGCCAGTGGCCTCCAAACATGTGAGGCCAGCTGATCCGGAAGTACGGGAGCAGAGGACTCCTGGGCTGAGCTCTTATGGCTGATGCAGTGGACTTGGAAGAGCTAAGTAATCCCTGTCCAGGTCAGAGAGAATTTGGAGGGATAGCCAGGGGACAGTTGGATTGGGAGAAGATCATAAAGTTGATGGAGGAAAGCACAATTGATTGAACTGAAAGAAAGAAAAACTGCACCAGCAACAGAACTAGATATGAAAGATTTCTCCCCACCCGGAGGCTATCAGTGACTTTGGGTAATATTCCTGGTGTGACACTGAAAGATGTTAGGGCACCATGGTGAGATCTGACTGTGAGATGGGTTGTCTACACAGGTTATGTGACATGTCTTGGACTGGATTATCTTTTTTCTTTTTTTCTCCTTTCTTTCCTTTCCTCTCCTGAACTTGCCTGACCTTCTTCTCTTCTGCTTCACCTCTGTCTCTTCTCTCCCTTGTCTCTTCTCTCTTATTCTCTCCCCTCTCTCCTTCCCTCCTTTTCTTTTGAGGACACCGTCTTCTGCTGTACTGTGCCCAATGCACTTGTAGAGTTGGAGAGCTGGTAACCTGGTTGGAGTCTAGGATGCCTCCTGGACTGTCACTGGGATAAGTTTGAGATTTCAGGGTGGGTCAGAAAAGGATAATGGAAGTATCATGGAAATACATAAGTTACATGAAAGGCAATAACCTACCAAATGTTGAAAATAGGTTTTTAAAAGGTTTTTAATTTAATAAGGATAGTATTTGAAATCAGGGAGGAGTGTGGAGGAGGTGAGCCAGGAGATGGAGAGCAGAGGAAGAAGGACGGCAAGAAGTATAGACATATTTAAACTATTTCACTGTTTTGTCTAGATCCAGACCTGACTCCCAGAAGCAACTTCTTTGTGAAGGTGAAAGTATTAAGCGTTCAACTTCTTCCCTGTTCCTTACTAGGAGTGAAATTACGGCAATGTGAGTAGTTAGCATATTCTTTTTAAAGCCTTCAAAGTTATTTCAATTCTGACCATTTGGTACTTAAACAATGAGGGAAATAAACTAGAAGCAATCAAGGGAAATCCAGTTATAGTTTCAAATTAATAACGTAGCTCTTGTCAGTCCAGTATTACTGGACTGACAAATACTGGACTTCAGCAGAAGGATGTAGCTAAATTTGATCATGAAACATGTGCCACCTGGTGGTGATCTGCAGCATACAACTTGTTGAGTTCTCAGTGGATGCACTGGGGTTTAGCTTATAACTAAGCTATAACTAACTATAACTAACTATAGTTAGCTTATAACTAACTGGCAATGTTGTGGAGCTGACTTTTCCCCATCCCACAAGTGTTCAGACAAGACCCTTTGATTCTGAGGTTGTAGCTCTATCTGGGTAAATCAGACCAGGAAAAGCCAAGAACACCAGCTTCTGTGATCCTTCAACAAATGAGCCACAGCCCACAAGATCCACTCAGGCTTTTGTGCTGACAGCCTATGCCTCTCCCTGCAGCCTCCAGCCCTTCCAGCAAGGAGCAGGCTGTCTTGAGACAAGCTGGAGAGACTCCTAAACACTACACTTTTTTCTAGGTAAAACCTGACATTCATTTCACTGGTTCGAGAAGACATGGCAAACTCAGGTGTGAGTGTCAGATTGTAGTTATGGTGAGTGTTATTTTCATCCCCAGGTTCCAACAGGGGTAGAAAGTGCTTACCAGTTGTTGTGGGAAAGATAGTTAATGTTAATTTATTTTAATCTTTGCAGGAGGAAAACCACCAATAGGGAAAAACACCTCTCATTCTGTTCTGTATTTCATTCAGGTGGTCTATTTAAAGTACACATGGAGGCTTCAGAAAAAGCCTAGAAAACCAGAGGTTACCTTCTGTCACTGCCTGTTCTGTTTTCAAAGACTATTTCTGGAACTCTGTACAGGTCCCAGAATTCCCAAAGTGGAAACAATAAACACTTACCTTAAATCTTAATCAATCTGTAAAGCAAAGGCAATGAATACATGGATACCTTCTCTCTTTGGAATTCCTCTTTCCATCTGACCCCTGGAATGTTGCCTTAATCTTCAGGATGAGAGAGATGTTAATGACATACTTTCTTTCTGATTCAAGTAGTTCCAGAGCCACAGTCTGTCTTTTAGCTTTAAAAACAAACCAAGGAGAAGACTGTTGTTAACTGCTCCTCCCCAAAACCCTAGGAACTAATAGAAAGTAATAAAAAGATATGGAAAGCAATAAAAATCAGCAAGTTTGGAGAATGTGAGAAATAGAATGGAGGCATGCTAATTAATTCAGCAGAGTAAAGAAGACAAAACCTTGACGTTTTCATCTGCAGATGGGAAATCTGCTGAGAAAAGAAAGGTGTGAGGACTGGAGGCACCACACACAACAGAAAGTGCAAACGAGTGGCAGAGCTGCAACAGGAGGCATAGACTACATAAAGTACAGTGGACCTCCAGGTCCCACCCCCACGCCAGAAAGCTTCCTCATTTCCACCCCATGAAAAATGGGAAACATTCAACTAGAGAAGCCCTCCTTTCAAGTATCTGGGCTAAAGACATCAGAAATAGTACAGGGCAGAGTTGAAATGCTAAAATGGAAACAAGGGGCTTGCATACTGAACAGTGAGACTCCCCGCAGCCTCTTCCCCTGCAGGTCCCACAATACCAGACTTATACTCTTCAGGCAGGGGACCCAGGATCTCCTCTGGAGAAACTGAACTGCCTAAGGAGAAAAGAGCTACAGACACTGACATAAAGAGGTCACCTGTCAAAAAGTTAATTTGACACCCAATTAGCCAGTAATGAAGCCCACTTATTGACAAGCGTGGCCAATACAGAATTTAGATTTCTTGTTCTTTAGAGCCTCTCTCTTATATATAAATAATTAGCTGAGGATCCTCAGACATTTGAATCAAGCTTACACCATCATAAAAGAAAGAGAAGAAAAAATATCTACACACACTTTTTTAAAGGAGAGGGTGGCACTGAATAAAGAAATAATGCAGGAGATGTAATGTACAGCATGGTAACCATAGTTAATAATACGTATTATATATTCAAAAGTTGCTGAAAGAGTAGATCTTAACTCTGACTGTTGTGGCTCAGTGTGACAGGCATTGTACCACAAATGGAAAGGTCCCTGGTTCAATTGCTGCTGGTGCACATGCCTGGATTGCAGGCCAGGTCCCCAGTAGGGGGCACACGAGAGGCAACTACACATCAATGTTTCTCTCTTCCCCTCTCTAAAAATAAATACATAAAGTATTTTAAAAAGAAAGAGTAGCCCTGGCTGGTATAGCTCAGTGGATTGAGTGCCAGCCTGCAAAACAAAAAAGAAAGAGTAGATCTTCAAAGTTTTCATGATAATAAAAGAGAATTCTATAACTTATGTGTGGTGGAAGATGTTAACTAGACTTATTCTGATGATCATTTTACAATATATACAATTATCAAATTATGTACATCTGAAACTAATATAATGTTATTGAATGTATGTCACTTATACTTCAATTTAAAAACAGAGATGATGCTAAACTTAAAACTTTTTTAAAATCTTGTAATTAATATCCTCAAAGAGATATGAAGAAAATATTCTAGGTATTTAAAAATGATAGGATACTATTTTTTAAGAGAACAATCCAAAAAAGAAGAAACTTTATGGCATTTTTCAAGTAGAAAATAAAGTCAAGGAAATCTGCTTGCCACTCCTTTCAATATTCATGCCCTCCCCCCCCAAAAAAAAAACTAAGAAAAAGATATATTGAAGACAAATAGAAGAGAAGAAGATGATAATGGAGAAAATCAGTCTAAGAGATCCAACATCAACTTATTAGAGGTTTCACAGAAAAGAATAAAAATGGATGAGAGGATATTATCTAATCAATCAGAGAAAAAATACTAGGATATCACCTCCAGAGGAAAAGGTCTATATCCTCAGCATAATAAATGAAAAAGATCTTCATGTCATTGTAAGGTACAACACATCACTGAGAAACTTTAGCACACCAAGGGTAAAGAGAAGATCCTAAAAGTTACCAGAGAGAAAAATCGGGTAACATAAAAAGGTCCTGGGGCTGGGGGGTGCTGGGCTTTCCAACAGGAACATTAGATGTTAGAAGACAATGGAAACATTGCTTCAAAGTGATGAGGGGAAATGATTTTACATTCAGCTAATAAACAAATCGTATGGAAGCTACTGGATGATAGATTTCGTCAAATAAGGAGTAAACCAAGCACACAGAAGATTAAAATGAACAAACAGGAATCTAACATTGGAGAACTATGAAGGGAATTTCTAGGAAGCCTGGGAAGTTGCAGAATGGCAGTAGTACAATGGGCCAGAATGGAGTAGGATGATAGAGGTCGCTAGGGAAAATGTTTTAAAAAAAAGAATGTAAGCGATAGGTTTTTTCTGTTACATTGCTTTAAAAAATTCAATAAGACCTATATAAAGAGGACATATACCATGTTCTTTGAATGGAAGACAAGGTACTATTAAGATATCAATTCTCTGGTAACTGGAATAAAAAAAAATATAGGGTTTACTTCCAGTCAAGATGGAGGCATAGACAGACATACTTTACCTCCCCAAGCAACCACAAAAAGAATCACAAATTACCTCAAAACAAAAAACAGCCAGAACTGTCAGAAAATCAAACTGTATAGAAGTCTGACAACCAAGAATTTAATTAGCCACAGTCAATCAGACAGGTAGGAGGGGCAGAGATGGAGAGTATGGATGGAGAGGACATGTAGCATGGAGTGGTGGTGGCGGCAGTGGAATGGATGGTCCCACATTCACATGTGGTGAATAAAAATTGGGAGGGATACATGGGGAGTGAGCAATCCCAGCCCCAGGCCAGACCATGCAGCCCAGGGTTCCAGTGCCAGGAATATAAAGCCTCATAACTTCCGACTATAAAAATCAGTGGGGGTTGGGGGCACCACAAGAAACTGCCAGTTTCTCAGTTTAAAGGACCCACACAGACTTAGAATATACACAAACCCACCCACTCTAGGAATCACCACAAGGGCAATAGATACAAGGGAGCCAGTTACACATGGAAAGTGTGTGAAGTGACTGTAAATGGGGCAAGTGCCAGGCAGGCCTCCAGAAGCCAGGCAGTGCTATTGTCTCATCTCTGACCCCTCCACCACACAGAGAGCCACAAAGCATGGTGAAGTGGGTTGCCCTGCCCTGGCAATTACCTGAGGCTCTGCCCCATATAACTTAACAGGTACACCAAGACAGGGCGTCAAAGCAGCTCTATCAAATACAAAGAAACAAATAGGGAGGCTGCCAAATTGAGCAGACAAAGAAATATGGCCCAAATGAAAGAAATGAAAGAACAGAACAAAACCCCAGAAAAAGAACTAAACAAAACAGAGATAGCCAACCTATCAGGTGCAGAGTTCAAACACTGATGATCAAGATGCTCAGATAACTCATCAAGTGCAGCAAAAACATAGGGAAGAAATAAAGGCTACACTAAGTGAAATAAAGAAAAATCCACAGGGAATCAACAGTGAAGAGAAGGAAGACAGGTTGCAAATAAACAATTTGGAACAAAAGGAAGAATTGAACATTCAACCAGAACAGGATGAAGAGACAAGAATTCAAAAAAACAAGGACAATATATGAAGACTCTGGGATATCTCCAAATGTATCAACATCCAAATCACAGGGATGCCAGAAAGAGTAGAGGAAGGACAAGAAATTGAAAACTTACTTGAAAAAATAATGAAAGAAAACATTCTTAATTTGGTGAAGGAAATAGACATACAAGCCCAGGAAGCACAGAGAGCCCCAAACAAGTTGGACCCAAAGAGGGCCACACCAAGACACATTATAATTAAAATGCCGAAGGTTAAAGATAATGAGAAAATCATAAAAGCAGCAAGAGAAAAGCACAGTTACTTACAAAGGAGTTTCCATATGACTGTTAGCTGATTTCTCAAAAGAAACTTTGCAAGCCACAAGGGACTGGTGAGAAGTATTCAAAGTGAGGAAAAGCAAGGACCTACAACCTAAATTACGGTATCCAGCAAAGCTATCATTTAGAATGGAAGGACAGATTAAATGCTTCCCAGACAAGGTAAAGCTAAAGGAATTCATCATCACCAAACCATTGATTATTACATGAAATGTTAAAGGGGCTTATTTAAGAAAAAGAAGATCAAAACTATGAACATTAAGATAATGACAAAACTCACAAGTGTCAACAACTAAATGTAAAAAACAAAAACAAACCAAGCAAACAGCTAGAACAAGAACAAAATCATAGATATGGAGATCATTTGTAGGGTTATTAACTGGGAGGGGGAATGGGGACAATGGGGTAAAAGGTACACAGATTTAAGAAGCATAATTGGCAAGTACAAAATAGGCAGGGGGAGGTTAAGAACACTATAGGCAATGGAGAAGCCAAAGGACTTATATGTATGAACCATGAACATGACACTAAGGGGGCAGATTGCTGGAGGGAAGGAGAGTATCTGGTAGAAGAGGGAAAAGGTGGAAAAATTGGGACAACTGTAATAGCACAATCAATAAAATATACTTTCAGAAAAAGAATATAGGGTCTAAAATGAGACTCACCCATATTTGATCATTTCACTCTGAAATATATTAAGAAATCTTACTAATACATAATAAAAGAAGATAAATAACCCAATTTAAAGATTAGACAAAGGACTTATATAGGCACTCCATAAAAGAACTACAAATGGCCAGTAAGCATATGACAAGATGCTCAACATCAGTTGTCGTGAGGGAACCAAATTAAAACTCCAATATCATACCAGTACATACCCAAACCAGTGGCTAAAATTAAAAAGACTGACCATACTAAATATTGGGATGTAAATGGTTTTCTAGTACACTGCTGATAAAATAAAATGTTCCAACCACTTTGAAAAACTGCTTTATATTTTCTTTTAAAGTTAAACATAATCATAGCCTATAGCCTAGAGATTTCACTCTAAGGTACACACTCAAGAGAAATGAGGACATACATCCACAAAAAAAGACCTACACGGGAATATTTATAGAATTTTTATCCATAATAATCTGAAACCAGAAACACTCCAAATGTCCACCAGCAGGAGAATGGATAAACAAATTATAGTAAATTCAGTCAATGTGATTTTTAAAAGGGATGAACTACTGAATGAATTATACACACCACATTATGTGAGAGGAAGAAGCCAGACCCAGAAGAGTACATATTGTATTGTTCTACTTATATGGAGTTCAAGAACAGACAGAAACTAATTTATGGTGACAAAAGTCAGTGTAGTGGTTCCTTGGGTGGGTATTGGCTGGAAAGGTGCCTGAGAGAACATTCTAGGGTAATAGAAATATTGTATATCTTGATCTGGGTAATCATCATAAGGAGGTATCCCTATATAAAAAGGCAATGAGCTTGAACTTAAGCATTGTGAATATTACTCTGTGTAAATTAACCCTTGATAAAGTACTGATTTAAAAATCGCAGCATAAGCTTTTTAAAAAACATAGAAAAACAAGTACCAGAAGAACCCGCCAAAAGAATTTAAATTGGTTGCTGCTATTCTTCATAGTAAACCTTTTAGTACTATTTAATTTTTCATGTGTTAGATAATAATTTTTAAAAATTACATCCCACAGAATAGTTGAAGAGAAATACTGTCGTCTGACACATACTAAGTATGTAGTAGTAATTTGTGAGTTGAAGGGAAAAAGGAGCGAGAAAGGGAGGGCACACTCTGTTGCAGTGCTTGACATTTTGGTAGCAGACCCCTGACACAAGATTCTTATACTGAGGCTCCTACATCACTGACCAAATAGTGCCCTTCACAAAATGCTGCCCTCTTCTATGTCAAATTGATGCTTCCCCTCCTGCCCTCAAACACTATATTACTAAGTGTTATAGACACCCAGAATCAAGGTGGTAGTCCCAGCTGGCCGTGTGGCTTCTGGTGAGTCCCTTCACCTCTATAAGACTTTAGTTCATTCATCTGAAAAGAAACCAGGTACTATTTGGCCTCATATGTCCAATGAATTTAAATTCCAAGGATTCTAGCCTGTAGGCTCACCATATTTTTTAAAATTTCAGTCTGTCATGGACACGAAAAACAGTGCAGTGTGGTGATTGCAAGTGGGGGGGTGCATGGAAAGGGGGTGATGGAGGAGGGTATGGAGGGATAAATGGTGATGGACAGAGACTTGGAGTGGTGAGCACACAATATAGTGTACAGATGATGTGGTGTAGAATTGTACACCTGAAACGTATATAATTTTTTAACTAGTGCCACCCCAATAAATTTAATAAAAAGGAAAAAATAAAAATAAAGATTCTCTACAAATTAAAAAAAAAAGAATAAAACTTTAGCCTGCGTTCTCCCTTGGGACTTACCAGCTAAAGAGGTTTCACATAAAACATTTTCCAAGGTGCTATGTCTGCCCTGGCCAACTTCCTTCAGTTTATCTGGGTGGTCCTTTGTGACATATTCCTCACCCCACTCTTTACCATCCTTAGGTTGCCTCCACACCCCAGATGGCAGATGGCCCTTAGACTGGATATCAGCCGGGAGGCAAGGCTTGAGGTTTTCTTCTGATTCTGGAGTTGTTGGGTTCATCCCTGAAAAATAACACTTGCCATCAAGATCTAATTTTGCAAAATTATATTTGTTACTAACTCTTAAATATTATGCTCATGTGCAGGACAAAATATATCAACTAAGCATTAAACATTTCCACAATTACAAAGAATCACCTGTCTCTGTTTCTGGTCTGTATATCTTCTATTCTTTGTACATAGCCTCTACTAAATAAGGAATTTTTTATAAGTAAATTTATAAAAAATGTAATTAATTTATAGTAGTATGTATTGACTCCTTCTATCTGTTTCCTTCCAGGTGAGTACACCAAGTGCCTGTGGCACTCCTGGAAAAGAAAGTACAGAAAAAGGAGGGAGAATGTGCCAAAGACAATGCCATTTTTGGACATTGTCCTCCTTGGCCCTGATGATGGTGAGTTGCAGAAAGGAAAGAGTAAGTGCATGTAGGGAGATGAAATAATTTATAAAATTGAGGTGAATTGTCTATTAATTAAATAACTTTTAAATTACATAAATCAGCAATTTTCAAACAATGTGCTACAAGAATTTTTAGTACATGCAATACCTGTCTATTTAGTCAGGGGCATTGAACTCTTTTCCCTTAGATTGTCAAATTAAAAAATGACAACAGCCAACACAATGATAGCTATCTGGTGTGAATGAATCAAAAGTATATCTATTTTTTATCATATCAGCAAAAATATTTTTTAGCATGCTGCAGAATTTTATAGTTAGTTTCCGTGTGCCATGAAATGAAAAATGTTGAAAGTCGCTGAAGTAAACTATAAAATATGTGGTTCATACAAAACTTATGTCATGCTACATACACCTGAGAGTTCTCAGCAAATATTAATTCTTCAGTAATTGAAAGGTGCCATAAAGCATCAAGAACAGTGGTTTGGTCTTAAACTTCCTCACACTTTCTCTGTCCTTGGGTTTAACTGAGTCACTGACCTTCTCCAGCACATCTCAGAATCTTGATAACCCATATGCTTAACTTGCCTAAGTTCTTTCATGCCTGGTTTGGGACTGAGGGAGTAGAAGCCAGGAAGGTTGAAAAAGGGAAAGGGTAGAATTGCCAGAAGGAGAAAGAACTCAAAGAAGGGCCACTTACCGGGCCCCATCATTCCCTTCACATTACTGTCTCCTATATGCATGGATCTGGACTCTTGGGCTGCAGAGAAAGGAAAGCTTTCAATCAGTATTCATTCCAGTAACATGGACTGGGCACTATGTATGAGCCAGACACTGGGGACAGACTCACAGAGCTCACAGTTTACCGGGGGAGACAGAGCAGTAAATAAATCAATAAATAACAATACAGTGTGATGAGTGCTATTTCCCCATCTGTACATAGATAGATATAATAGTGGTACTTACCTCATAGACTACCATATGAATTAAATCAGTTAATATTTGTAAACTGCTTAAAGTGGTACCTAGTAAAGTGCAAATTATTGTTTAACCATGATGGTAGAGAGGGTAATGATTAGAGGAGCCAGGTTGGTGTCACTAAAACGTCAGACTGTCATTCTCTGCTTAGTCCTCCAGTGGCCTCCCATTTTTGTATAAAAGTTTTATAATGACCTTAAAATGATCATTAGGGTAATGATCATTTACATTACTAAATATATCTGCCACTCTCCCTGCCTGCTGTTTCCTTTCTTTTTTTGTTTTTGTTTTTAACTGCAATTCCTATTATCTCCCTTGCTCACTCGGCTTTAGGTTCTTTTTGCTGTTCTTTGAACATGTCAGTTATGTCCCCGCCAATACCTTGGTACTGGCTGTTCTTTTTCTTCCCCTCAGTATCATTCCTAACTTTCTCACTTCCTTTGGGTCTTTACCTGGCACATGCTATAAAATTACACCTATGTTTCTTCATTTTTCTCTTTATCGCTATCTAATATATTATGTATCTTATTTATCTTGCTCTTTGTCTGCTTCTTTCAAAACAAAGGCTCCACGGGGGCAGGAACTTTTGTTGCTTTGTTCAGTACTATATCCTATGACCTAAATCAATGCCTGGGGTGGATGGGTGGGTGGATAAATTGGTAGAATGAAGGATGAGCGACTATGGCCAACACCTTAACTGTAGCCTCAAGAGAGACCTTGAGCCAGAGGCATCCAGCTAAGCTGTGTACATATTCCTGACTCCAAGAAACCGTGACATAGTGAATGTTTGCTATTTTAAGCCACTAAATTTGGGGGTACCGCATTATAACTAACAGTGAGTAAGTCAATCCTTTCAGAAAGTTTAGTCCTTTGACCTTGAGTTTTAACATAACCTACTACCAATAGTATAGTGCCTTATTATGGCACATTATTCCTAAATTATTGCAGCAACTTGGTAGAAGAAACAATGTTATATAAGCCATGCCTACATAACAGCGAAGGAAGGAGGAGTTGCCACTAAACAGCTAATTTAATCTATCTGGGCCCTTTTAAAAATATAATTTCTAATCATTTATCTTGTGAAAATGTTCACTTGCCTCAGATCTGGCATCGATCTGACCTTTACTTTCCAAGCCCATTCTGTAATCTCCCCTAACAAGACCATCTTTTTTTTTTTTTAAGATTTTATTTGTTTTTATTTTTTTTAGATGGAAGGCAAGGGAGGGAGAAAAAGAGATAGAAACATCAATGTGCGGTTGCCTCTCACATGGCCCCCACTGTGGACCTGGCCTGTAACCCAGGCATGTGCCCTGACTGGGAATCGAATTGGCGACCCTTTGGTTCATAGCCCGTGCTCAATCCACTGAGCTACACCAGACAGGGCACAAGACCATCTTTTATATCATGCTCTCCATAATACAGACCAAAGAAAATAGAGCCAGCTGCCATAAACCTACATCCCAGGCAGGTCAAGTGAGTTTTCCCAGGGTGCACCTATCAGTCCCTAAAATAGTTACTCAAATGGGCAAAAATTAAAAAAATAATAAAATCTGTACTTTGAAGTTAATGCTGATTAAAAGCCATTTAATTTAGATTTTTTAATTCAGTTATTCAAAATATATTTATTGCCATTGAATATATTGTACATTAAGCCATAAGGGTAGAAAACCACCAGTCCTGCTCTTGAGGACTTTATAATTGATTGAGAAGTCACTGAGCCTCTTTCGGAGACTTTCTACATATGACAAAAAAAAGGGAGAGAGAGAAATTGATCTAAACACCATAATATCCACATTCATTCTTCTATCTGTGCTTTGCTAGGTGTTGTTGAGGATACAAAGAAGTAGCAATCATTTTTTATTTAGTTTCTTTTCCTCAGTTCAATATAGGTCACTAACCGATGTCTGCAGACATCCCCCAGGAAGTTAGTTTGCTTCAGTACTGCCCAAGTACAATTTTTTATTATTTGTTCTAACATCTCAGATCAGGGATGTGGCTGTTGACTATTTCAGTGCACAGACAGTACAGCGCACAGACAGCAAAGTTAGACTGCCCCTGATGTCACTGCCTGCTAGTTAGGGTGCATATGACTTTCTCATATCAGTGAAACCTCTGCTGAAAGAAAAGCAGAGCACACAATTTTATCTGTATGCTAAGAATATGGCTATTTTTTAAATGTCTATGCAGAGAGACAAGGGTTGAGGAAGTAATATGGGAAATAAAACAGTTTATTAGGGTGAATAATTTTTAACATTTTTTGCCTTATGGTTGTGCAACAAATTATTTCTAATCCACCTGAAATTTAAAATACCCAGTATTTTCCCAAAAGAGAAAATGTTTTAAAATTAGGCAAACTCTCCTGGTTTCTCAGATCCTCTGGATTATTTAAATTCCATATATAAGAGGGAAAATTCTGAGCAACACACCATTTTCATCTAAAAAGAATGAAGGCCTTAGGCCCATTCTACTATTACTTTGACCCTCAGATTCAAGAAAAAAAATGCTTGGCTAATACAGTATGATTTGTGAACTGTACCTTTTTCATAGGCTTGAGAAGGCAAAATGTTTGTGAAGTCTTCATTTGGAAGAACAGGCTCAGGAACATTGATTGAACGGAAGGGACTTCCTTGTGCTTGAGCAGGCCCAGCCTGTGAGCCGTGTTCTTCTTTTTGAGTTTTCCTAGGGGGAGGGAAGCAAAAGTTCTTAATACCTGATGGATGGATGAGGAAGAGATTCAGTTCAGAATAATTCAAGAATATTTCTGAATCATTAAGGTGAACCATTTAAATTGCTGTTTTAGTGAATTAAAAATGGTCAAGTACTTAACTCATCACCAAGTTGAAGAAAAAAATTTTAATATCTATTAATCACCTTCTAATTTTAACATCTACATTCTTATTTTTTTACTGGTTTCCCTGTCATCAGGATCTTCATAGAATTTGCAGTGGTGACAATTTGCTTAGGATAATTTACATTAATTTAACAAAGCAATACTAAGGTGCCAGGAGGCAGCAGGTCTTCAACTGAAAACAATAAGCTATTCTCCAGGATCACACAAATATTACTGCCATATTTCTATTTTAAATTTGATAATATTAAAAACATATAACAATAAAGATTATATATATTCACTTCCAGTTAAGATAGAGGTATAGGTAAACATGGCTCACCTCCTTGCACAACCACAGCAAAAATTACAGTAGACTACAAAAAAATCAACCAGAATCATCAAAAAGTCAAGCTGTATGGAAGTCCTACAACCAAGGAATTAAAGAAGTCATGTTCAAACAGACGAGTAGGAGGTACGGAGACATGGACATATGAGGAGAGGAGAGGCATGGAGACACAGACACGCAGAATGAGCAGTCCCATCCCCACATGTGGTGGATAAAAATCAGGAAGGATACCTTGGGAGCAAGGGATCCCAGTCCCACACCAGAACACCCAGTCCAGGGTTCTAGTACCAGGAAGATAAGTCCTCATAACTTCTGGCTGTAAAAACCACTGGAGGTTGGGATGGAGGAAGAAACTGTGGGATTCTTAGGAGTCTCCTCTTAAAGGGCCCACAACTGACTTAGGACTCATGCAGACTCACTCCCCCTGGACAGCACTAGAGCATCAGCTGAAAGGGCATCAGTGACATATGGGAAGAAACAAGTATCTGGTTTCAGGGTGAGTGCCAGGGGATAGTTTCCTTCCAGACAAAATCCAGAGGCCAGGAAGTAGCACTGTCCCCTTTCTGAGCCCTCCCTCACACACAGCCACAGAGTGGCAATACCATATTGGAGACTCCATCAACCTGGTTCATATAGGTTGCTGCATCCTAATGCTCCACCCCATCTAACTTAGTGGTACACTTTTCTACAATAGGCCACATTGCTAAGACAGGAAGTCAAAGCAGTTCTACCTAACACATAGAAACTAACACCAGGAGGCTGCCAAAATGAGCAAAGAAACATGGTCCAAATGAAAAAAAAAAAAAAAAACAAAAAAAAACAGAACAAAACTCCAGAAAAAGAACTAAATAAAAGAAATAAGCAATCTATCAGGTGCAGAGTTCAAAACACTGGTTATTAGGATGCTCAAGGAACTCATTGGGTACTTCAACAGCATAAAAAAACCCAGGCAGAAATAAAGGTTATATTACTGAAATAAAGAAAAATTTACAGGGAATCAACAGTGGAGTAGATGAAGCTGAGAATCAAATCAATGATTTGGAACAAAAGGAAGAAATAAACATCCAACCAGGACAGCAAGAAGATAAAGGAATTAAAAAAAGAGAGAGAATATAAGAAGACTGGGACATCTCCAAATGTGCCACTATCCAAATAATAGGGATGCCAGAAAGAGTAGAGGAAAAGCAAAAAATTGAAAACTTACTTGAAAAAATAATGAAAGAAAACATTCTTAATTTGGTGAAGGAAATAGACATACATGTCCAGGAAGCATAGAGAGCCACAAACAGGGTGGACCCAAAGAGGGCCACACAGAAACACATCATAATTAAATTGCCAACAGTTAAAGATAAAGATAAAATCTTAAAAGCAGCAAGAGAAAAGCATAGAGTTACCTATAAAAGAATTTCCATATGTCAGCTGATTTCTCAAAAGAAACTTTGGAGGCTAGAAGGGACTGGCAAGAAATATTCAAAGTGATGAAGAGCAAGGACCTACAACCAAGATTACTGTATCCAGCAAAGCTATCATTTAGAATGGAAGGGCAGATAAAGTGCTTCCCAGGCAAACTAAAGCTAAACGAGTTCATCATCGCCAAGCCATTATTATATGAAATGTTAAGAGGACTCATTTGAGGAAAAAAAAGATCAAAACTATGAACATTAAAATGGCAATAAATTCACAACTATCAAAAATTGAATCTAAAAAAGCAAACTAAGCAAACAAGCAGAACAGAAACAATCATAAATATGGAGATCATTTATCAATTGAGAGAAGAAAGAGGGTGAATGGGGGGAAAGTACAGGGATTAAGAAGTACAAATTGGTAGGTACAGAATAGACAGGGGGATGTTAAAAACAGTATAGGAGATGGAGTAGCCAAAGAACTTATATACATGACCCATGGACATAAACTAAGATGGAGAATTGCCAGAGGGAATGGTGGGTACTGCATAGAGGGTTAGAAAGGGGGAAAAATTGGGCCAACTGTACTAGCATAATCAAGAAAACATATTTTTGAAAAAGATTATGTGTGTTTAGTGCTGAAACTTTACTTGAGTCAACCTAGGTGAGGTATTATTTAACAAATTTATTTTCCATGGTAGTGTTAAACTAACAGTAGCATTAGAGAAATTTTATAAAATTAATAAAAAAAGAAAATTGCTGGTGACTTTCCCTATCTTAACAAAACAATCATTATTTTATTTATTTACTTATTCTAGAGAGAAGTGAAGGAAGGGAGAAATAATGGGAGAGAAACATCAATGTTAGAGAGAAATATGGATCGATTGCTTCTTGCATGCACCCCGACCAAGGGCTGAACCTATAGCCTAGGTGTGTCCCCTGCCTGGGAATTGAACTGATGAATGTTTGCTTTGAGGGACGACATGCAACCAACTGAGCCACACTGGTGAGGGCAACAATCATTATTTTAAAATATATCTTTTTAGTTGTTATTTTATGTGTTATTACAGTTGAAATCAAATTCTACGTGTCATTTTATATCATTTTCATTGTACTGCCTATTAAGTGCATTTTCCATCTAATAGTTACCATCAATTTTTTAGTATTAACCAACTTTTATGGCTCTATAACCTCTATCACATGCTGACCCATGGATCCCAGTGGCCAGCTAGCTCTATACTGATAGTGGAGAATGTGTTTTCAATGTCTGCACAAGTCATTGCTTATGAATTTGCCTGTGGTCACTTTTCAGAAGGAACTCACTTGGCTTTTACTTTCCGAGATTCTCTTCGCTTCTCCTGTTGAAGCTGTTCAATTTTCTGTTGCATTTCTTCTTGTTTGGAAGTGATGGCCTGTATCATTGACATGGCATTGCTTAGCTCTTCCTAAAAAAATAAGGATTGGTATGTATTTAATCTGCTGTATTGGGTAAAAATTTAGAATATCTAGTATATAGTAAGCTTTTAATACATATTTGTTAAGTGAATGAATGAGTCAATGAATGAGAAATGGAAAATTTACTTCTATTGTGGTCTCTAGTTTTAACATAGAGATCTAAGAAAGAACAGCATAAAATAAAATATTTTTCCATGAGAATTAGTGAATAGGCAAGAGGGAATATTCTTATAATTGGCTGCTATGTGAAAAGGTAAGTTTTCTACTTGTGTAACTAAGACCAAGAATCAATCTTCAGCAGGGAAATAGAAGACAAGCCTACCTTGAAATAGTTTAATGAATTCTTCATCTCAGTAACTTTTTCTTCCATGGAACATTTGCAGCTCTTAACCTTCTCTTCCAAAGCATATTCTCCATGTTGAATTCTGGACAGTTCTTGCATTGCTTCTGTGAAACCAGTTTTGAGTTCAGAGGCCAGGGCCTGCAACTAAATAAGACATGAAGAGTGAATGCAATTTGCTGTAAATAATTAGAAATGGTGCCACTGACCTTTTGAACTTTTATTTTTGTTTGAGAAACCAGCTCTTGAAAATTTAAAGACCTCATTTCCTGGTACACTAAAGTTCGAATAACTTAAGGCAACATTGGCCCCATTCATCCAAGAAAAAGAAGCACATACTGATGCTTGATAGTGACAAGAAATCAAGCAAATAATTAAGTTTACAAGTGCATCTGTAAGCTACTATGTAGTCTAACACCTTTGGTTAAAATGAGATTTACTTGAAAAGCAACATAAGCATGTGAAAGACAGTCTTGGTCCTGTAACTCTTCAAGTTCCATGAAAGAAAAGATGGGTCATATTATCCCTGGTTGTTAGGAGAAGAGGAAGAAATTCAGTTACATTTTTCTAAAAAATATTAAATGATAAAAACAGTAATGACTAAGCATATCTGAGAATTTCTTTGAAAGGGAAGAGCCTTTCATTTTTATTCTTGAATGGTATGGAAAAGGAGATAATGGCATTTTCAGGGGCAGTGTGCTTTATAAAGAAGACACAGAACCATCTGCAGTGGTAGGAGCTCAGCACGTCGTCGTTAGTGATATGACTCATCTTTAGCAGTAAAGTCTGGTTGTTCAGGAGTGCACATGTTGGACTTCTATTGTCAACGTCCACACCATGAACAGTTGTCAGTTTTGGAGTCAGACAAGACACAAATCTCAGTGATCTCCCACACGTGCATGGACCTTAGGCAAGTCCGTTAACCTCTTTGAGGCAGTTCCCTTACCCATCAAATAACTATAACAACACCCATTTCACCAGGCTGCTTTGAGACTGAGATGAGTAAATGCAGGTAAGGTACCTGTCTAGTGCATGCTAGGGACATAGAAGGTGTTTAAGAAATTTTAATTCCTCTACCCTTTTAAATGGCAAATCAAAAAGTTAAGCAACAAAAAAATGGAAAAAATGGAACATTTAATAAAGTTCAGTTTTTTTATTGAACAAATGAAAAACCATTTTCAACACAGAGTAACAATAATAACAAGGTAGCATTACTTTCTTGAAATTTATAATCTTATACTCTGCTAAGCAGAGGAACTCTTAGCTCCAGATCTCTCTTTAAAACATAATTATTTAGAAAGTTTGTTCTATAATTAAAAGTATCCACCAAGTATTCTGGTTTTAAAGGGATGGAAATTAAAGTCCAGCTACCTTAACAAAATTCTTTCAAATATGTACTTCTAAACAATTTGGCTTCTGGTTGTCCCAATGTTTCTAACTTGCTCTTCCCACCATAAAATGACTTAGTTATCTACGTCCTAGAAAATAAAGGATTTTTCGGTTCACTGAGCCTCACAAAGGTTTCTCTTGAGGGCTGGGAGTAGGGAGAAATAAGAGGAACCAAAGAGATTATTCATTGGAAAAAAGCCAGACCTGTCAAGTGTTTGGGACTGGAAGACTGGGAAACAACACAAGCAATCTGTTTTTCATTCCAGTTGTTTTAATTTTAATTAGTCTCTGTGATGGATGGTAGCACATGTCCTAATCCAGTTATCATGATGGGTTAGATCACCAGATCAACTACTTTTGATCTGGTAATTCTCATTATGTAAATTCATCTTCTATGAGCAAAATAAACAAAATCTACAACTATATATTTTAAAAGCAAAATTTATGCAAGTTTTAAAATTGAAGGAAGGAAAGCTGACGTTCATTCAGGTACTCTGAAATTCACTCAGATTTCCTGCTTGAAAAACAAAGAGAACCAGTATCTGACAGAAATAGGTTTCACTATCACTGCTCCCTTAGGTGGGTGTGTGGAGTTTCCCCAGGACCTGAAAGGCAACAAGCAGGGTCCCAGAAGAAAAGACTTTTCCTCACCTGTAGAACCCCAGCTCTCAAAAAATTAAGAACTATCAAAATTTTTCTCTAACCACTAGGTTGTGTAGGGACTTTGGGAATTTTGAAACCATTTGAGCTGTGGGCCCATTTCCTTCACATATATTACTTTGAGTCCCTTGGGTACCTGCCTTTGAAGTTATAAAACACTACTGCTTTATAAAAAGCTTCACGACCAGTGACCAGCCAGGGAGCGGGTGCCCTAGTGAGCACAGTCACACACCTGAGACAGCAGGTCACTTTTAGGATGCTTAAACTCTTAGTATCTTTACTTGCTCCAGACTGGTGCTCCAGTGCCAACTAGCCATTCCTTTGTGAATTAAAAAAAAAATACTCTGAAGACATGGACTTAGTATATTTTTTGTGCTCTCTCTTCAGCTTTCTTATTTGATAGCCCACAGCCCACCCCAAGTATTAGAAATGGGTGTCTACCTTGTTCTCCAGCGAGTTGAACACGTTCCTCATCTCGTTGATTTTTTCATGAAGCTGCTCTAGAGAGGTTATGATCCCTCCATCCTGCCGCTGAAGGCGGGCTCCCACTGGAGGCAGGTTCAGGGAAGACTTGTACTTCGAAGCCTAGGGTACCACAGAGGGCATCTTAGGCTTAAAGAAATAGGGGACAGGAGTCCGAATTCTTCCTATTTCCTGCTCTTAATTTCTCTTGGTGTTTTTTTAAGTCTTCCTAATATGAATTTTAGTCAATGTCTTCCAACCGAAGATCCCTCAGCTAAATTTTCTTAAAGTATGCAAGTTATTATATAGATTTCTTCCTCCTTTCTGTCCCATTATCAAGGTCAGAAAGCTATTATGGGGAAAATTTGGGGGACTGGGCCTATATTTGAAAACCCTGGAAACTCATTAATGTCAACATTCAAGAAACCTCTCTACAAGACATGACAAATTCCTGTATCACCTAACAGCTCGGCAAGAGCAAAGCCCAGGTGTTCTGAAGTAGCAAATAATGGCAAGGAAGCCAAGATCATTTTTTTGGCTTCCGACCAAACCAGGGTTGCTATGGAAGAAGCTTGGTCATCCTGCTAGCTTCTATCTCCCTAATTTAAGGCTTCTTTATTAATCTCCAGAAATGTGATGATTTAAAACACAAAGAGGGAAACATGTCATTTGAATAGTTAAGAATAAATTTCCTGAGTCTACTTCTCCACAATTCCTACAGAAGTTGACCCTTAAAATCATTATTACAGGGTACTATTGAAGCTGATACAAAGCCTGGTATGCCAGAAACTGATCTTACTGATTCCTGGATGCACCACAGGCCTGATAGATAGAGTTAACTTCTCATGTGTTGGAGACATTCCTCAGCTGCAAAAATAAGACTGAGGCTGAGACAGGACTTGCAAATCCTATGAAGCTTTCAATGGCAGTTTGAATGATGAAACCTATTACCGTAGGACTGGTTCCCATAGTTTTTCAATTAGAGGTCCTTTTGGCACATAACTTATTTTCTTAAATTATTTTCATTACAGAGAAATAGAAAAAAAGAGAATCACCCCAAATCTTGTTACTTTACTATCACCATCATGTTTAGGTATATTTTCTGTTTTTTTCTATGCATATGAATGCAGATTTTTATATGGTTGAAATCACACTACAGTTGTATTTTGATCTTGATTCTGCTTCCTCTTTTTGCCTAACATAAGCATTTTCCTTTATCCTTAAAATTTTTCCTAAATATCTATTTTTAATAACTATATAATATTTCATTCTGTGGTTATTGCAGAGTTAAGCCACATACTCTGTTTGAAAATTTATGTTGTTTGTAATTTTTTGATATTGTAAATAATGCTGACAGTATGCTTTTTATTAAAAGCTTTGTATGTATTTGAGATTTTTTCCTTTGGGTAAATTCCTAAATATGAAATTACTGTGAGTCAAAGCATGTTAGGCAGTATTCAATCCAAAGGAAAATCTGTTGTTTTAGAGAGAGATAATACATTCAATTAATTAATACATATACAAAATATATTTGACCAAAGGGCTTGAAAAGTTGTAATAATATGGCTATATTTTCTTAGAAACATACTGTATCATGTGTAATGTCCTAAATTAGTATATTTAGAAAATCATGTCTTGAACATGATATATAAAACAATATAAATGGAGCGAGCTGCAGTGTTTACATTCCTAAGGTTACAAGTGAGCCAAAAGCATGCTGAAGTTCAAATCATAACTGTAACGGTTGAGCTAGGGCTGAATTGTGCAGTTAACCCATCTGTTGCCTTAATTGTGGAACCACCCCCCTACTTCTCATGTTAATGAAATCATAATTTTAAAATCCATATGAAAAATATAGTAATCAAGAGTGAAGCAACACAATCTGACTCTGAAAAGAGGTAGGAGTAGACTTTGAGAAGGCTAGATACAGTGGACAAAGGATGAGAGAAAAAGGAAATAGATCTGAGTTCAAATAAAAAGTATACAGCGCTAAGGAGCACTCAGGGTTTCCACATGACTCACCAGACCTGGCAGTAATTCTGCCTGCACTGAACTGGGAAATGGTAGTGCTCATTATTCTGTTGGCTTCTGTGACCTGATTTGTTATCTCATACTCTTACCACAGAGGTCAAATCCATCCAAGCAACAAAGAGCCAACTGGGAGTGTGAACATTTTAACATTAATAATACATTTTAAAAGATTTTATTTATTTTTAGAGAGAGGTAAAGGGAAGGAGAAAAGGAGAAAAACATCAATATGTGGTTGCCTCTTGAGGGCCCCTTCTGGGGACCTGGCCTATAACCCAGGCATGTGCTCTGACTAGGAATCGAACTGGTGACCCTTTGATTCACAGGCCTGCACTCAATCCACTGAGCTACACCAGCCAGGCCTATTAATATATTTTAACTAGTAATTTGTATTAAAGGTTCTGCCAATTTATACATATCCATCAAAACCAAATATTATTAATTATTTTATTATTTGCTAATTAGGCAGTAAAAAAATAATCCTTATTTTAATCATTGTTTCTTTGAACTTCAACCTTTTCTTCTATTTATTAGCCATCTGTAATTTTACCATGGTCAACTGCTTGTGTTCTCCATCCATATTCTACTGCAGTCTCAGAAGTTTCCTTTTTTATTGATTTCTATGAGTATATAGCTATTACAAAGGTTTAATTATAAGGATTTTTTTCCAATTTTGTTATTTGTCTTTGAATTGATTGAAAATATAAAAATAATTGATTGAAAAAATATATGTATGAATTTTCTAACCTTTTCCATTGTGATTTCTTCTGGTGCTTTTTTACTTAGATGTTTTACATCCAGAGATAAATATCCACTAATTCTAAACTTTTATGGTTTAATTTTTTATATTTAACCTTTTAATCATTTTAGAGTTTACTTTGATCAGGATATGAAGTGAGGATCTATTCTTTCTTTTTCCCCCCAAAACCACACAATTTCCAGACACCATTTGGTACCAGACTGAATGACTGCAGCAGACCTCTTGGCCCAAAGCAATACACACATTTTGCAGATGTTTACTCATTCATTCAGCTATTATTTATTGAATATTTTTATATTCCAGGTACCGTACTTGATGCTGAGAATGTACAAAAGAGCAAATTGTACTAAATCCCTGCCCTTGGAGCTTACATTCTAGAGAGAGACAGACAATTAAAAAGTAAATAAACAAGTTAATGTCAGGTAAGGATGGGGGCAACATCCAAGAAAATAAAATAAGGAAATAAAGAGTGGCTGAAGTGTCACATTTTACTTCAGATTTCACATTTTGCTCTCACTTTTTAGTGTAGGTTGTATTCTATTATAGTTAACTTTGCCCTGCTTCCCTCTTTCCTCTTCCTCTTCTGTCTTTACTTCTCCTCCTTCGTCTTCTTTTGGTTAAATGTTGCTTGGAGCAAACAAACTGGGGCTTAGAAAGCATTCTTTTAAGACAAGAATGAGGTATAATCACAGCATCATAGAGATCATATAGACCAATTCACTTCCACGGCTTCATTTGTTCCACTGTGAACAGATGTACTTGGATTTGTGATACAATAAAAGAATGAGGCCGCTGCCACCACTGCAGCTATATTTAGCCAACATTCAGGGAGTGACCTACATAAAATCTGTAATAGACTTTAAATCATACCTGAGTTTAAAGAGATACTCACATTCATTCAAATGCCATACACAGGTCAGATGTTAACAGAGGGGAGGTGGGCAGGGAAGACATTTGGAAGTGTTGGACAAATGAGGCATCAAATCAGCATTGAGTGAAGACTCTCTTGTTTCCAGGCCTTTGTTCAAGCTAGTCCCTCTGCCTGAAATACCCTTCCCCATAACCTCTTACCAAATGATCGTCTTGTCCTTAAATGCCTGGTTCATATCCTTCAGTCAATATCAATTCATCCTTCCCCCATATCCCATGGAATTTTTTCAATCCTTCTGTTGTAATCCTTCCAACAGTCTACCTTGTATGTGTTTACCAGGACACTTAAAATCATCAAGAAGATGTGTTTCATTTATTTTATCTCCCACTAGGTCAAACGGTAGACTTTGCACAGAGCAGCTGTTCAATCAATGGGCATTAAGTTGAAATGAGGCTATTTCTTCTGTCCCCTCTCATTGCTGGTCCGGGTTGAGGAGCAACATGATTGAAGATGTTTACGTAATCCTGTGCTGGCTTGCCCTAATTGGGTCCACAGCAATGATCTCTTATATGATATTTCTAGGAACTTGTTATTTTCACTTTCCTGTCACTTAAGCTCACCAAATCTAAATAACATTTCCCCCAAACTATCTGTTCTTCTGAATTTCTGTATCTCTTTTAGGAAATAGCTTTTTTTCCTAGTTACTAGGGCTTAAAGCCTTAGAGTCAACTTTCAAATCACCTTGTCTTCCAACCCCCACCGAGCTCTGTCAGCTCTTCCTTCTCAGGTGTTCCAGATAACACTGTCCTAACTCTGGAGCAGTGCACCCGTTTCCCTCGCCCAAGCTGCTTTTATGTTACAAATTGTGTCAGAATAAACTTCCCAGTTTTTAAGGACAGAAAATTTACTTTAAATTTACAGTCGGAACATAGGAGCCAAATAAATACTATTCAGAGAGCCAGAGCAGCCTGACTTTAAATATATTACAAAATGTTTTCTACAATTTTTGTCTCCCTTGTAAATTAAATTATTCCCATTATTTAAAGGAGCTTAACACTTTTTTCTATCATCATGTTCTAACATTTGCCACGTGAACCATCTTTTGATTTTCAATTGTGTCTGCTAAAATAGGGAATTAAGAAAAACAGATTTTGCTCTCTCTTTCTCTCTGGGGGAAATCCTGCATGGAGTGCTGACCATGGTGGCAGCAGCAAGAAAAGCAGAGCTGATGTGGGAGCAGTGGTGCTGAGTTTTAGAAACTGGGTTAAGTGGTCCTTTAATAATCAGTTTTCTTAAAAGTGCAGTGGGAATGGTGCTCTCTACCCTGTCTATCTAAATACAAGGAACTTGTTAAGTGAAGAAATATGATGGTACACATGGACGCATTTGTAAGCGCTAAAAATTATACATACAAGACAGTCATCACCATTAACACATGGGACTGTTCAAAACAATCTCTCTGTCTTTACCTGGTAAATCTGTGTTGAAGGGTTATTCATCGTCATATGTTCGTTCTCTCCTGTGGGGAGAAAGAGCTTTGTTCAGTCAATACAACTCATTCTGTCACTATCCTCTTTAGACCTGGGCAGGGAATAAGGGGGCTTACAGGATCCTAAATCTGTGCCTGCTGAACAAGAGACCAATGATTCAACAACAGCAAAGCATGAGCTGGTATAGGTGACTTTACATTCAGGTCCAAATGACCAAACCGTACCTACCTGATGGATGTCCTACAGAAAAAAACATGTTCTACTGTGATGGTGATGTTTCTCAGCTAAACTGAATGATTAGCAATCAATCATTAGGTAGAAGTGTACACCAGTGAAGGGACTCGCTTGTGTTCTTGGGGCTGACTGACGTTTGACTGAGGGGGTGGTTCTCTAGTCAGGAAGATTGCTCTTCACCGGGCACCTGTACAGTTGTCACTCTCTCCTTCTCAGGAGGCCTGGGTAAAATACCCTGAAATCTCCTGCCTCTGATCCTTGCAAAACTTCTGAACTCTGACCTTCTGTCACTGTCCACATCAGCTAAGAGAACTGTGCTGTCCTCCTAGGCAAGAGGGTTGATAGAAAGGAATTGTCAATGGAAGATGTCTGGGAAGGATGGAGGCAGAAAGAAAATAGTCTTGGCAATGTTAGAGACTGTGAAACACAGGTCAGACACAAAGGAGGTAGTAGATTATAAAACCCACTTAAACCTAAGGAGAAGAAAGGGTGGCCCAGCACGTACCTTTCAGGATCACAGTGGTTGGCTGCAAAGACAAGGCAATCCGTGTAAAACATGCAGCCCCTTGCCGATCCATTTAGCTCTGTCTCCATTGTGTCACACTGTGTGTATCAGCAGTTTATACATCCAGTCCCTGGCTGCAAACATTTGGTTGTGTGAATATGTATATTGTTCTCCTAAGACATGCTGGCATAGGAAATCCTTCCTTAGAGGAACCAGCACAGTATGTAAATTCATAAATAATACATAGCCTCAGCCCAGAACTTATACACACAGAGGGCTGTCCCTTTAAAATCCAGATGGTTTGAGATCACCAAAACTTCCTACATCAGCTTGAGTCAAGATCCCTTAGCTCATTTTGTGCTATGCCCCAACAGCCTAGTGTCATGGCAAGAATCGGAACTTGGGAACAGAGACAGGCTCCCAGACCGAACTTTGATATTTTGTGGTCGTAGCCTAAATTCTCTGTGACTATTTTCTCATCTGATAACAGAACCTCCCTCCATATGGCTGATTCTGTGTGGTAAAGATTGAAAAAGAAAACTCTGTTTCTAGGCTAGCCTACAAGGTGTTAGATGTCTATTAGTTGAATGTGTATCTTGGCCTTATTGATCAGATTAGTCTGAGGTAGTTCTAAATTTATTGCTAAGAAAAATTAGACAACTGCTCAGAAAAAATTATATAAATATAATTTTATGTTTCCCCAGCACCAAGTCTATGTTCTTCATGGACATTCTACGATGATGAATGAGAATAGTAAAGATAATATATTATTGTTTTTTAAGTTTAATTTTTACTGTATTTTTTCCATGGCTAGTTATCCCCCCATATTATTTGTTTTGAAAACACAGGACGACAAGACTATAACACACATTTCTTAAATTCTGAGTCCTAAAGCAAGACATATGAAAAATCTAACCTTGCTTTGTTTTTGTTTTTTCCATGGTGCCTGCTGCTTCTCTCCTCCAGCATATTCTTCAGCCTTGCACCTTCATTGCCCCTGGATCAGGCCACCCCCTCTTCCCTGGACCTGTCGATTGAAATCAAGAGTAACAGACAGCAAGTAGAACTGACGAAGTAGCTGGACTTACTTTATGTGTTGACTTGAAAAAACTTGAAATGAACACAGCTATTAAAGGAGACTTACAGTGAGGTTCACATACTTTTAGAAGAGTGAAAACATTGAGTAAATATTTAGCTTAAAACTTAAAGGTAAATATTTTGTGAATAACTATAAAATTCATTAATTATTATACTAATTTTTAATGTGGTGCATTCTTATTTGGATCAAATCAATTAATTTAGACCCATGGATTTTATTCACAGGTTATAGTTTAGGGCAATTATTTAAAAAGAAAAAATTTGAGCAAGGATGAAAGCCAATATATTTGTTTCTATTTCATTAAATATAAACTTTCTTGATGGCCTTGTCCACACTTTCAGCATCTTTCAGACTCTTTACATCCAGCAGATGCTTCTCAGTTGTGGCCTGGTGGTCATGACCACTAGACATAAAGCTGCAAGTTGAGAATGCAATCTAATAAAGAAACCAAAACTATCAGTGTTGTTGATATTGGCCCTTTTTTTTAACCATCTAGGATTTTATCCTTTTCTGATGATTGAAGAAAGGGTTAAAATTAAAACTTTATGAGGCTTGATAAGACGCCTCCCACCATGGAGGCTGAGTGTGTTCTCCTTGCCTCCTCCATTGCAGCTAAGGCATGAGGGACACATGATCTAGGTAGGATATGCCACTCAGGTGTATACATTCCACCTGACCCCAGAAACTGCAGGATTTCCTAAGGCACATATACCCGATAGACTTTTTACTTTCTAAGAAATGCAAAAAGTTCCTAAGACAGTTTAGGTAACTCAAACTGCTGCTTTTGGTGCTTTCCTCACCAGAACAACTCTACTATATCATTTGGGGCATTGTTGCTGGCCCTAAAATTCCAAACTTGGTTCACTAGTCTCCCGGCAATTCTCCGAGTTGCCCATATCTTTTCAACAAATTCCTTGGCTGCTAAAATTAGGCAGAGTTGTTTTCTGTTGCTTGCAACTAAGAAACCTGATTGAAATCATTAAAATATATTAATACTATCCAAGATTGAAAAACACAAATTATAACTTTATTCACACTCTGTAAAAGACATTTAATTTATAATGCCAAATGCAGATTAGTAGCTGCCTAGATCAGGCAGTGGAGGTTTAACTGGGAAAAGATAAAGGGAACATTTTAGGGTGATAGAAATGTTCTACTTAATTGTAATAGTGCTTATATAGATGCATAAATTTGTCAAAACTCATCAGAGTTTACCTTTTAATTGGGTGTATTTATCCTGTGTAAGTTATACCTCAAGAAAGTGGAATTAAAACTTTTCATTCACACATTGAGGTCTGTAAAGCAAAATAGTAAGTTGGCAAGGATGGGAGGCTACAATAGATGAAAAGGCATTGATCAACAGCTATATAGTTATACATGAAGGATATAAACAAGCCAAGGCCATGTGCTATTTAGGACCTTGCACATTTTCTATGTGAGCATGAGAGTTAACTCAAGGTAGACATCATCCCTAGCTACATAAATGTCTTCCACAGCCAATAAAAGCATTACTGAGATCAAAACTTTCTTCTCTTTAGCAATTGCTCATTTATTTGTAAATGCATTTCATGATTAATATAATTAGTTCACAGAACGTTTGAGCCAAAAGGCCCTAAGAAAATGATTTTATCCAACTTCATTTGTAAGTGAAGCAGCTGAGGCCTGGAAGGAGGAAGAGACATGACCTGCCCACAAAGCCACACCGCTTTGAAAATTGGTGTTAGATGTTATTTCAGTTACTGTTTGAGGAGAAACATCCAGAAATACATAAAGCCATATTTTTGTGGATAATTATTTCATGAGGATTTAGTTATCTAATATACAACTAATTGAAAATAAACCCCAAATCCCTTCATATATCAGATAAAATGTAAACACACATTTTCAGAGCTGGACATCATCAAGTTCACGTATATGCACTCGGTCACTGACTTCACGACATAATAAAAAGTACACAGTTAACAGAAAGTGAATTAGAATTTTAATTTTATTTATCTAATTACAAAAGTAAAAATAACTGCATTAGAGAAAATTTTTTTAATCTGGAGGAAAAAACAACTATAATGCCTCTATTTAAACAACCATCATGATAATTTGGTTGTATTGCCCCCCAACCTTTGTTCTCTTAAATGTTTTATATGATCGTTAATGAAGCCTGCGTATAATTTTGTATCTACTTTTCCACTTACATCAGAGCATGAGCAATTTGCTTTCTTAAAAATTAGATTATCATTACTCATGTTATTTATACTATGGCCATTTGAGCAGAGGTACGAGTATTCTTCTCCAGTCCCAATCAGTGCTAACTATCTGCTGTTTTCCTAACACTCTTTTCTTTATCCTCGTATAATCACATACAAACATATATACAGAACATGAACATATGGGACGGGGCTGTTGATGTAGGTTCATACTGTACCTCTGTGCACATTTGCATCTTGTGTCTCTCATTTAATAATACATTGTGGCAGTCTTTGTAAGATAATTGGTATAGATGTAACAGATTATTTTTAATGATTGCATAATATCAGTGGTATGAATGATCTGTGCTAATCATTCTATATTGATATATATTTCATATCTTTCCATTATTTTGCCACTGCAAACAATGCCATAACAAATAGCTTCATACATAGAGCCTTACATATTGGTGATTTACCTATATGGGGTTTTCATAGGTATGACTAGGCTGCTTTTCAAAAAGACTATTTATTCTCATTTCCTCCAGGAATAGAGCATGAACAACTTTTCTCCTGCCAATAGTGGGTGTTAATACTTTTTAGTATTTGCCAGTCAGATGGGTGTGACAAATTATATTTCCTAGTTACTTTTACTGCTTGTTAGTGTTATCGAGCATCGTACATATCCTTACTGGACATTTACATTTGTTCTTCTGTGATTGTCTGTTCTTCTGCTTTGCATTTTTTCTGTTGGGTCATCTGCCTTTTCCTGATCAATTAGTAAGTGCTTTTATGTAATACTGATTAAATCTTTATTTGTCCTACGAAGGTTGAATATTTTCCCATCTTTTTTTTTCCTTTTGACATTGGAATGTCACCTTTGCTATTGGAATATTTTAAATTTATAAAGTCAAATAGAACTTTTTTCTTCATTGCTTCTATGTTTCTTGTGTTAATTCAAAAGCTCTATGCAGCTTGAAGTTATTAATATATGTTTTCCTAAATTTTCTTTTAATTTTTAAGTGTTTAGTTCATCTAGAATTTGTCTTTATATGTAGTATGATGGAGTGTTCAATTTCCTTATCAAACCAAAATATAGTGTTTTAAAACTACTTGTTAGAGCAAGTCAACTATTATTCTTTTTTTATAATTTGCTTTACTTGACATTTATTTTTCGATATGAATAAATGAACACCAAGATCATTATACTCATTGCCACAAAAACTATGATTCTCATGGAATTGCATTAGGTTTATATGTTAATTTGGGAACATGGACATTTTTCTTACACTGAGTTTTGTCATTTAAGATTATATCATTCTTTTCATTTGTCTGGATCAGGGTTCATAGTTTCTTCTTTAAAATTCTATACTTTTCCTGTAAAATTTCTTCTTATGTTTTTATTGCTATTTCTTCTTATGTTTTAAAATGTGAATGGCACATTTACCACTTTCATTTCTAGCTGGGTTTTGTATTCTCTGTTGTATATTTATTTTATATTCTGTGACCTTACTCAACTCCTTTATTAATTATGGAAGATTTTTATTTTATTTTCTCAATTTCATTTTATAAATTATGCTATTATAGTTTTCCCAATTTTCCCCCTTTGCTCCATCATCTCAGCACTTTATACTCCCTCAGGCAATCCCCATACTTTTGTTCATCTCCATGGGTCATGCATGTAAGTTCTTGGCTACTCCATTTCCTTCACTGTACTTTACATCCCCAGGGCTACTCTGTACGTACCAACTTATATACCTTAACTCCCTCACCTCTTCACTCACTCCCCCACCCCTATCCCATTTGGCACTGTCAGATGCTCTCCATATCCATGATTCTGTCTCTGTTCTTGACTGCTTAGTTTACTTTTTAGATTCAATTGTTGATAGATATGTATTTTTGCTATTTTATTGTTCATAGTTTTGATCTTATTCTTTTCCTTAAAAAGTTCCTTTAAGAGTTCATACAATAATGGCTTGGTAATGATGAACTCCTTTAGTTTTTTCTTGTCTGGGAAGCTTTTTTTTTTTTAGCATAATCAATAAAATATACTTTATTGTTTTTTTTAAATTTTTTAATTTATTTTTTATTGATTATGCCATTACAGTTGTTCTATTCCCCCCTTCATTTCCCTCCACCCTCCCCCCATCCCCACCACTACCCCTCCGTTAGTTTATGACCATGTGTCTCAAGTTCTTTAGATTCTATACTTCCCATACTATTCTTGCCCCACCATCTATTTTCTATCTACCATCTATGCTACTTATTTTCTGTACCTTCTCCCCCCCTTCTCCTCCTCCCACTCCCCTGTTGCTAACCCTCCTTGAGATCTTCATTTCTATGTTTCCACTCCTGATCTAGCTGTCCTTTTAGTTTGCTTTTGTTTTAGGTGTGGTTGTTAATAACTGCAAGTTTGCTGTCCTTTCACTGTTCATGTTTTTTTTTTAACTTCTTTTTCTTAGATAAGTCCCTTTAACATTTCATATAATAAGGGCTTGGTGATGATGAACTCCTTGAATTTGATCTTATCTGAGAAGCACTTTATCTGCCCTTCCATTCTAAGTGAAAGTTTTGCTGGATAGAGCAATCTTGGTTGTAGGTCTTTGGTTTTCATGACTTGAAATACCTCTTTCCAGGCCCTTCTTGCCTGTAAGGTCTCTTTTGAGAAATCCGCTGACAGTCTGATGGGAACTCCTTTGTAGGTGACTGTCCCCTTATCTCTTGCTGCTTCTAGGATTTTCTCCTCCATTTTAATCTTGGCTAATATAATGATGATGTGCCTTGGTGTGTTTCTTCTTGGGTCCAACTTCTTTGGGACTCTCTGAGCTTCCTGGATTTCCTGGAAGTCTATTTCCTTTGCCAGATTGGAGAAATTCTCCTTTATTATTTGTTCAAATAAGTTTTCCACTCGTGGCTGTTCCTTTCCCCCTTCTGGTACCCCTATAATTCTGATGTTGGAGAGTTTACAGATGTTCTGGAGGTTCCTAAGACTCTCCTCATTTTTTTGAATTCTTGCTTCTTGACTCTTTTCTGTTTGGCCATTATTTGCTT